GATTGCAGCCAAAGTTTCAAAGCAATCCAAATTTATACACTGTCAGAAAATTCCGAAAAAAAATGGAAAAATCATAGAGTTTTTCCGAAACTTCTGCATGGAGCTCTCCATAAATGCAAATTCTGGGCTTTCTCCGAAAAATTTCGGAATTTTAAACAAAAATGCATGCTTCACTATCACAAAAACACGAAAAAAAGGTTTGCAACCAGTTAAAAATTGAGGGAAAGGTGAATCCCTACTTCTGGAGCTCAGTTTTCATAATATTAAGGGAAAGCTACAGGATGTAAGTCAAATGAGTTTGAATGAGATTGTCCCTTCTTTGACCATTTCAGACCAAAAAATGCTTCAGCGAAGTCCGCTATAATATATCTGAGAAAAGACTTGCATTTTACCTGCTATCTGGACCCAAGGAATGCTCCGAAGAACAGATGTTCTTCGGAGTAAGCACTTCTTCGGCATAAGTAAGCACTGCGAAAATCTCTCCGAAAAAAAAATGGGAAATGAATGGAGTCTCCATGAACGTGATAATAGGGTTTTTCTCCATAAAATTTCGGAGCTAATTTCTAACAGTGTAAGAGGAGGCAGAGGGGCTACTTACTCATTGTGATCGAACTGGCGGCACGCTCGTCGGATGTGGACCGCCTTGTGCTGAAAGGAGTTGAGAGGGGTAGCACAGAACTCACACCTCATCTTGCCTGGTGCAGGGGCTCGCCCTCAGCACCACACTGAAAAAACAAATGCGGAGAATTCCGCATTTGAAATGCGGTTTAGGTAAGTGACCGCATGAGGTGATGCGGTCACCTGAATAGCCAGGATTTTGATGCAATTTCACCGCAGGAGTCATGCGGTGTAAAATTTAACCGCATTTCCTGATGCGGTTTCCATTTTGACCGCATGAACAGATGCGGAGTCCTACATTTCATAACAGCCAAACAGCTAGCGGCTGCTACCAACTTTCCGTCTCTTACTGGACAACCAGAAAAGGATGGCATGTACTGTGCCTTCTCATTTACTTCTGATGCTTATCATTGACTAACTAACACATACCTTTGATGTAAATGTTTGTAACGCTGCGATGAGTAAATATCCTGTGTTTGAAACAGCAAGCCACGGAATAATAATTTTGGCTGTATAAAATGTTGATTGACACTGGATATTGTTCCAAATGCAGTATCAAACTATTGTTATTCATCACTTTAAATTATTTTTAGCCTCAAACTTCTTGGTGATACTAGTTTCCATGAGCCAGGCTATGCTGCTGCATGCTGGTAAGGTTAAACCAGCCGGCTGCTTGACTGAAGAATTGTCTCTGCTGCTGTATTTGAACAAGTCAACGCACACGACGCACTACAGCATTTCTTTGATTGAGGTTATTTCAGGGTCTGAATCATTCCAAACCATTGCAAGAACGTTTTCTAAAGGAATAATCTTTCAAATCTCTGACACTATCACACAAATCAACAACAAAATAAATAAGCTAAACAAAAACAAAGGAGTGCCAACATAAGAAAATAACATCTTATGAGTCAGAAAGTTAACTATAAAGTTGTTCTTTTGTGTGAGTCGTTCATCAAATTTTAAGCTTTAAGAAACAAACCGTTCCCTTAAAAATCCCTAAAATACATCCAAAGTTGGTTTTACTTTAACGCTAGCACGTTCCCAAGATCTTAGGTTGGCACTACCATCTTCTTGTTGTTAGGCTTGTTTTGTTGTTCTCTATGAGAGTGTGTGTCTTGAACTTTCTTTGTGTGAAAAAACGATTTTTCAATAGTTGTGGATGTTTCACTGTGGCAAAAAGCTACGGAAAATTCTGTAAACAGCTTGTGGTAATTCTCCGTAGCCCCCTTATCAATATTCTCCGTAGGCCCTTACAGTATTTTCCGTAGGACCGCACAGTATTCTTCGTAGGACCTTACAGTGATCTCCGTAGGACTATACAGTCTTCCATGTCCTACGGAGAAGACTGAGCGGACTTACAGAGAATACTGTACGGCCCTACGGAGAATACTGTAAGAGCCTACGGAGAATATTGATAAGAGGGCTACGGAGAATCCTGGCAAAAAATTTAACAGAATTTTCCGTACCTTTTTGCCACAGTGTTTAAAGCATAAAACTATGAATATTACTAAAATACAGTTGTACTGTAGTGCTTCGCATGTGTTGACATGCTTCTATATTGCGGTATTGAAAATATTTGTGCCAAAGCAACCCGGTCACTTAACCTCAACCTTGCCCTGGGCTGGACAACATTGGAAACCTCAGTGCTGTTCTCACCGAAGACTGCCGAGGACTTGAAAGATAAAAAGAATTTTGAATTGTGTTTTCAAATTGTGTGACAATTCATCTCTAAAAAAATGCAGTTTCAATCATTGGTTTTTATTTTTAAAAAAACTACTTAATGAGGCTGATATCGCTGTTAACTTTACGCTCATCTCAGCGTTACAAACATCTACATGACAGGTATGTACTGGTTTCCCAAATAATATTGTTTAAGAAGTAAATGAGATGGCCAAGTAAACGTAACCACTTTGAGGATGGACTGGGAAGGGAAGTTGCCACTGCTGTAAATATCGTGGGATCTTCAAATCCACCTCAACTAATGCGGTCAAAACTGAGACCGCATCAGTTTGGCACACACCGCAGGAGTAAATGAAGTCAATCTTCTCCGCATCAGTTAGTGCGGTCAAATTGATAGAAAATTACACCGCATCAGATTGTGCGGAATCCTCCGCATTTGTTTTCTCAGTGCAGTGACGTCAACTACGCATGTTGCGATAAGTTCGCTGCAACAGAAAGGTCGGCATGAGCAAGGAACAGTCGCCTGACTGGGTCCAAAAAACAAGACGACACGACAAGATCACGATGAGATGCACCCAGTTCCACCACCTGGATCCCTGGGAAGTGATAAAACGCCATTTCTTGGCGCCTTACATTCGCATTGTGAGCGGAGCAACCTGCAAGAAGAAAGGGAAACGTTAAGGCTGACGCTCCCTCCAGGTGGCCCATGTCCTCGGAGATGTCCGGGCACTGACTTGGAGGAGCCCCACCAGTTTGCTGCCCGCTGTGCCGACGGCACACATCACCGCACAGTGGCGAGTCCAGGCGTCCTAGAAGTCCTCGCAGTCTAACGACCCCCTTAACTTTTTACCAACCGGTAAAATGCATCTGAAAAAGCATGAAATTGCCCATAAAATGACCCTTATTGGGTTTCAATATTGGGTAAGAAAAACTGTTAAAACGCTCATCTTCAACTTAAGATAGGAACGAACCACATTTTTTCTTGCCCAATATTGAAACCCAAGGGTCACTTTATGTGCCATTTCATCCTTTTTCAGATGCATTTTACCGATTGGTAAAAAGTTAAAAACTTTGGCTGCAATCGTGCGCGTAGTGACACCATTTAATTTTGCAGACCATTTTCGCATAGAACACAAAACATCCTAATTCAATGCTAAAACAAAATATTTTTGTTAAAAAAATGTTGTAAAAACTTTCCTCTTTAAAATGGTGCCTGCCGTTTGTCTCCGGCATTCATACTTATCTTGATATTAACGTCTAAACAGGAGGTTCGAAAATCGTCAAAATACGTGCATATGACGCTACTGCCCCCTTCATGTGAAATTGGAACGTACAAAACTTTTCGTACCTGGAGAGCACTATGCATATGACAACTGTTCTTTATGTTCACAAGAGCAGACCCGGCCTTGAAGAGATTCTTGAAGTCATCGTCGAGTAGTTCAATATCGGAGATGGGTTTCAAAATAGGTGGGAGGTCATTACTTTGAGATTCAGACTAAAACCGCACTAGCTCAGACTCAGGCATGTGATCTGCCGCTGGACCTTAGGACGCTTCGGTTTCTGTTCAGGCCTTGTCTCCTGGAACAGAAAATGTTTTTGTCCCTCAAGCCCTCAGCCTGGCGCGCTGCATGGCGGCGGTCACGGCCAGGACCCCGGCGCTGGATCCCGAACTGGAACTTCTCCTAGACGAAGGAGCCCCGCCAGGACCGACCATGCTCCCCGTGCACAGTCACTTCGCATTTGCAGGCCGAATGCATTAAGGACATGCTCTGCTGATCGAAGGCTTCTCTGTACAAAAACAAAGAGGATCCTGCATTAAACGTTTCACAAACGATAACAAAGCATTTGATGTCAAGTTTCTTTTCTTAAGGCACTACAGGCTGAGACGTGGAAACATGCCCATGCGGCAGCGGAGTCGTTTCGTCGCTCTGTCTCTCTCGCACCCCTACGAGGGGTTCCATTAGTGCGAGCGAGAGACAGCGAATCAGCCTGCGGCAGGGGCGCGCAGCAACGCGTCCGAGTTGAAAGAGCACGCCCGCGGCGTTGCGTGAGTTAGTGGAAGCCGAAGAGTCATTTCGTCCCGGTCGCACTCGTGGGATGTCTCGCATGGCCGAGAGAGAGAAGGAGTTCTAACTTAATTAGTGCCATTGCTGCTCCACCTGCAGGTGCTGCAAGTTGTGTTCTTGCTGTTGCTGCAATTGCTGCACTAGGTCCTCTTGCCACTGCAGTTGCTCCTCTTGCTACTGCAGTTGCTCCTGCTACAGCTGGTGCTGCTGCTGGAGCACTTCTATTTGCAGCGGCAGGGGAACATTGGCAGCCGTCAGCTGAGCGGGGAGCGGGGCTACCACGAGGGCCCGTGGTAGCTCTGTGGTGCTCGGTGCGTTCCAGAGGGGGGAGGAGATCTAACTAACTGCCATTGCTGCTCCAGCTGCAGGTGCTGCAAGTTGAGCTCCTCCTGCTGCAGGTGCTGGTGCTGCTGGTGAAGGTGTTGCTGTTGCTCCTGCAGCTGGTGCACTTCTATTTGCAGCTGCAAACTTTTTTGTTTACTAGCTTATGGTACGAGTCTTGTACGTTTCGGTTATGTTCTTCCTAGTGTAATGGTCCACAAGTCGCTGCGGTTCCTCCTCGGCAGTGTCATAAGGTACTCGTAATTGGAGATGCGTCGAGAGAGATTTGCCGGTGCCATCGGGTGCCTGACGTGGGTTTTGTCTCCACTGGAGTACAGAGGACGATTTCAGCTTTCCATAGATGTTAACTACTTCAAGTGAAATCTTGCAATGTCATCTCAAAACATACGGTCAGGGCATGGATTTTCTAGCTCCACAGCAAGAAAAGCTACATCAAAAGTATAAATACGGCAAATTTTTTACAAGGTAGGTGTACGCCAGACCGTGGCTTGTAACAGGCTTCGCGATGCTGCGCCAGTTTCGACTATCCACGGCTGGCGTATGAACCTTCCTAGCCTGCGGTGCCACCGTAGAAATGCACGTGATTCCCTCAAACATTGGCATGTGGTCATCAAAATCTACACTAATGGGACTTAGGGTCGGAGGTCCGAATGGATTCTATTTTCGTCATCAGCAGCCTCAAAACCATCGGAAACGACGAAACTTAACAAAAAGTTGAATGTGCTTAAAAAGTTGTCCTTTTTCTGCCGTTTTTAAAGAGTAAATTGGTGGTTTTAACTGCAGGGATTGAGATAGAAAGCTGCATTTTGTTGTGTGGTGAGCTAAGGATACACCTATTGACGCTGCTAAATCTCAGCCGAATCGGCCGAGCAGTTGAGGAGTAGTAGTGCGGACAGACTCACACACAGACAGAAAAGGCTTTCCAGCCTCACCCGAGTACTGTCGGAACCGGGTCCATCGAATCGGTCTTGTCGCCCCGATTCCAAAAACAACTCTTCATGCCGTGCTAGCACCAATTGTGGCCGAAATCCACTGCTCATGTAAACCATGCCTTTTTCTGCCGTTATTAAAGTGTGTTTGGTGGTTTTAACCGCAGGGATTGAGATGGAAATTTGGTGTGTGGCGTACACTGCAGGAAATAACCACAACAAAAGTACACAAATTTCTGGCAAATTTTTTATCAGGTTTTTGTTGTACTTTCAAAGTACAACAATTGTTGTACCAAGTACAATGGAACCGGCATGACGAGTGCTGGGCAGTCCCGGCCTCGTTGTGGTTTGTACAATTCTCGTTGTACTTTCTACAATCCCTGTTGTACTTTTATTGTACAGTTTTCGTTGTACACTTGTTGTGCTATTCACACTTTTTCTTGCAGTGTACCACTACCAAAGTCGTCCGCCCTCCAAGCCTGGACGGGCCCGACGGCTGGTGACCGCGCCTCAGGGATTTCCGGCTTGTCGAGGAAGTAAGGGAGAGTGGGGTAATTCCGGACACGGGGTAATTCCGGACACTTCGATTTTCACTGGGTTTGAGTGAAGATAACTCAAAAGCCCGCCTAACAGAGGAAGATAATCAGTTTAAAAGGAGAATCCCAAATCGCCAAAGTAGGAGGTCAAACCGTTTGCCTGTGGTCGCTTCACGAAATTTGAGTACCATCAAAAATAGGCAAAAGCTGCATCTTTCCCTCGTATTTCCATGTACTTATCGTACCTTACCGTCAAGTTCAGTCCCATGACTAAAATTTTATCATATTGTATGATCATTGGACTTTACTTTGGCGTTTCGGGAGTGCTCGTATGGCTCGCCGTTTTCTTACAGTTGAACATCAAAGGTTTTCACTACCTGTGGGGTAAATCCGGACAATAAGGGTTATTTTCTTCAATTTCCCGCATAATGTTAAGGTAGTGGGTTCAAAATTGTGGACATGCATCCCCACCGTTAAGAAGGATAAAGAAAGAACGAAAAATAGCATTGCAGCTGTATTTAAGAGCTTTACTCAAGACAGTGTTGTCAATTTAGGGGTTTTGATAGAAATTATTCCTTATAATATGCTTTGAGTAATAATCAAACACTTCAGTTCGCAGCAAATGTCCTTGAACGCCTTCTAAAAGCATGCCTCACATCAAAACAAGCGAAAGTAAGCTCGAGTAGTGTCAAATTTTAAGGTCGTCCGGCATTGCCCCATAGGTCGTCCGGAATTACCCCAGCCTGGGGCAATTCCGGACACGTGCAGGGCTTTTGTTAGGCGCCTATATCTCCCTAACCGTTGCTGAGATTTGGCTTTCATGTATACCATTTTGAAGGTAAAGGTCCATACTTTACTCTCCTGTCATAACATTTAACCCAAGAAGCATATTCAAGCTCAAAGACCAAAAAGAAAAAAAGCGTCCGGAATTACCCCACTCTCCCTTACGGCGGTGGGTCCACGGTACGAAGAAATAGTTCGTAAATAACGAAGTATTTTCTTTGTAAGCTTATGTATGCTCAAAATACTGTGTTATACAAGCTGCTTTGCTTTAAAAGGCACAAAATAGTTTGTAAGGTTTTGAGAGTGTACTTACGGCCTGGGAACAGCTCCTGAAGCAGGCGGCTGCACCGCGGTTAGGGCGCGTCGAGAAACCAGGGTATTGGGCCGGGCGGAGGGGGCGGCGCCAATCCCCGGTCCTCTTTTTTAGGTATTTCGACGTGGGGTAATTCCGGACGACTTATGGGGTAGTTCCGGACGACCTTAAAATTTGACACTACTCGGGACCTGACATCTACTACAAATTCAATAGTAAAGGCACGGCCAAAAATTTTATTGTGGTTTACTAGCTATTTTTCTCTGGGTTTGGTGCCCTTGAAGTCATGAGAATGTTCCTTCTTCATAATGTCAGCTGCAGACGAGAGTAACATTTGACACAAGAAGAAAGTTGAGACGACTAGGTGCAGACAGCGGTCCGTATTTTCCTGTCTAGAAGACAAGCTGTCTCAATTGCTAATACCCTTAAATGGAGCTGGTAAAGGTTGAAGCAGTAGCTGTAAGGTAACATGGCGACCGAAATTTTTCAAAATAAAGAGAGCATATTAGACATAATGAGTGCACTTTTAATGAAATTTCACCTCCAGATAAAACTAAAAATTACATGCATTTTTTTATGCCTATTAAGAAATTCACTGTTAAAAAAATCAGTTGTAATTTTCATAACATTGGTTGGCATTTTTTTTTTTTCACAAACAATTGTTATGAAAATTAAAATCACAAATGATTGTAAATTGTTTTATCACGTTATGAAAATTCATATTCGCGTTTGCGAGGTCATTTTAGGGCAGTTAAGCAAAAGGACGACCAAGTGTTCATGTATATGAACACCTATGCGGCCTTATGCCATTTAGTGAACCGATTCTGCTTTTGATCAGTGGGTTTCGAACCCGGGATCTTTGACTTGTGGTGCGCGCTCTTCACCGCTGTGCTACCACGTCCCACGGGAGGCGGAGGGTCAGCTGCCTGATGACTCTACCAGCGCCCCTTGGCCACGCCTCTTGAGCTAGTTATGAAATTTACAATCGGATTCGGAAAATTACTATTGTGTGCTCAAAATCAACACTTAAGATTCGCAATTTTCAGAACATGGTTTGAAAATTACCAACAATTGTCAATTTTACGAAATTGTTTCGAATTTTCGCATCAAGTTCTGAAAATTGTAATGTTTGTAAATTTCATATCCGTGTTCGGAAAATTGTCATCAAAATTGCTTTGAAAATTCATAATTTTTTTAACAGTATTTTACAGTCTTTAAAAATATTGACTTTCAAATAAAAATTTGCAATTGGGGCACTCAGCCTTGGTGCCCTCCTCCTTCCCCTTGTTGGCCCGGCGCACGATTGTTTTCCCCCCTGCCAGCCGGGATTGTCGCAGCAGCTCCCTCGGCGTCGCGGTGTGAAGTGGGTGGTCCGGATTCTTCTTCACACACGCCCGGAGGTGGCGCTGCAAGTGTGTTTGGGGCGCGCCGCGCACCGGGCAGGGCCAGCGGCCCGCACCGTCTGGAAATAACAGGAAAAGTAGCTGTTCGTTCACACCGGCAACTTTGACCCGTCCCGTACGTTCAGAGATGTGCGAATTTCGCTTTTGTTTAACCCTAACGGGAATCGTAACGTAAGTCTGGGGTCAACATTCTTGTTATTTTCGTCATCAACGCCCTCAAAAACATGGGAAAAAACGCAAAATCTGCAATTTAAAACTGCATCCTTCACTGATAGAAAAAAGTACAGAAATTACACGGAACATGTCTGGTCAATTTTTTACCTGGACCGTCCGTACCTTGCCAACCACGGAGGTTCTGTACATGATTTCTGTACCCGTTTACATGAGATCCTTATGGGGATCACAGAGAACCAGTACAGAAGGTCCGTACCTTTTCGGTACCCGTCTGTACCCCATTTTTCCGTACATCTTCCGTGCCAAACCACGGAATTTTTTGCAGTGTTGCAGTGTCCAGCCAGGAAACTTTCATACAAAAACACGCTTTGGGTTAGGCTCTGTGCACGTGTCAGCCGGTCTGGACCCATCGCCCTGGCAACGGCAGTCCAGCGCAGAAAGCACCCTGGCCAACCCTGGCGTGGCGGCCGGCTCCCTACTCGCTGGAGCTTCCCCTTCACCTAGAGCCACAGCACAGCGGGATACATACCGCTCGCTTCCGCTTCCTGGAGAGGCGCATGCTCCTGCTCGGGGACATCGTCTCCTGGCTCGGGTTCAGCAAAGCCTGAAAATGATGGAATTTTTTACTCGTTCTTTACACACCACTCACTAACATACAAAACTCTATGTGAAGAGAACGAGTATTGTGTTCAAAAATGAGTTTTGGGGGGACATCTTTCATCTCAGATCTCACAGCATGTGGGAAAATGAGAGTGGTATCAAATGAAAGATGGAGTGTCAGTCGCTTGATCGTAAATGAAGTTTGTGTCCTCGGCGGGTCCTAAGAATTGGCGGCCTTCCAACGTGTACAAAATGAGCAATTGTGCGAGCGAAGCGAGCTAGAAGCCAGGGCTATTCATCGCTTTAAGCCTGTTCAAATGACTGATTTGGCAGTTTTGTGGCGCTCTGATTTTAGTCCTTGCCATCTAGGGCCGCAGACAGGGTCTTTGGGGGCCCCGGCCGGGCTAGGGCCCACCCGGGAATCCCCGGGCGCCCGGGCGGGCCAGTCCGCCCCTGGAACCGCGTGACGCTTTTGGGTTGATCCCCATTAATTCTGGCTAACGTCTGTCCCATTGGGAATGGAACTTGGGTCGGAAGTCGCAATGAATTCCATTTTCCTTCTCGGCACCCTTCAAAACAAAATGAAATGATGTAGAACATCACATCACAAAATATGTAGGGAAAAAGTTAATTTTTTGCTGTTTTGAAGTGTTTTTTTGCCTGTAATGACCACATGAATTGAGACGGAAATCTAAATTTTGGCGCGTGGCGAGCCAAGAACATACACAACGACCCTTTAAAATCTCAGCCAGATCGGCCGAGCTGTTTAGGAGGAGTAGTCTGTCAGAAGTCAGTAACGCGGACCGACAGCCCCTGTGAACCTGATGGATAGGATCTACTCAGGACACGTGCCGACCTGGCACTACTGCCAAGGATGAATTCGTTAACTTGTAACGCAAGGCATTCATCAAATAGCTCACTGTTCTGCGGCGCTACAGGCTTGCTTACGGCAAGCTGTCACAGAGATTGAGGTTGAAGCAGTGAGTAGAACATTCCGTGAAAAAGAGTTCAAATTCGAAAAGAGTGAAACATTAAAAAAAAAACTATTTTTCTTGCAACAGCACATTTTGCAGCCTCACAGTAAACGAAAATTCGAACTCGCACTACAGCACCATCAAAACCGAGGCAAACGGCCACCAGAGGTCTCTGTGGTGACATAGCCTCTCAAGGGGGGCTTCTAAGGTGGCCGGCGCACAAGCGTTACTCATAGTAAATAGTCGCAGGCGACCGCTAAGCGATGGGTCTGTGCCACTAGGGCTTGAGAGGAGAATCACACACAGTAACGCCAGACAGTGTTCTGCTCGGCGGAAACGACAAACGTTCTCACCCTGCCACACTCTCGGCTTGGCCATCTGTGCAAGCCTCTCGGCCCGCTCGGCGGCCTCCTCCCGCGGGGTGGTGGTAGGGGTTGAAACGTGCGCCCGCGTCACGGCGTGCGCCGAGGGGTGAATCACTAGTGTACTCATGTGTACAAAATTTGCCCGTACTCAGTGTACTCACAAGTTTGTATAAGGCGAAATTCTGTAGTTATTTGACCGATTTAACGTCGAGTGCCGTTAAAAACGCTAAATAAACCCTAAAATCGTTTAAAATTAAGCAATTTGTGAGCAAAGCCAGGTGTACTCACCCGTACTCATGTGTACACCAGAACGCTGCTCGGCGTGCGCGCGAAGCCGGCACGGCGTGGTGAGAAGAGAGACTTCCCTGACGCCGCCGCCTCAACCACCGCCTTGGTGGGCATTTCCTATTAGGAAAAAAAAATTATGTTAGGATTTCTAGATGGGAGTGACGAGTCTTGAACATTTTCGTAATTTCATAATTTTTGGCCCACCCCGTGTATTTATTTACAAGGTAGGTGTACGCCAGACCGTGTCTTGTCGTAACAGGCTTCGCGATGCTGCGCCAGTTACTACAATCCACGCCGGCGCTCACACCTACCTCGGCCTGCGGCGCCAGCCTGCCTTCGGCAAATTGTTCTCCTAAACAAACCGTTGGGCGTGATCCCTACCAAAATAGTAGATTTTGGTAATTAAAATCTATACCATCGTGACATAACTTTGGATGGGGGGTAGGATTGTTCTATTTTCGTCATCAGCTCTCTGCAAAAATATAGAAGACGAAATGAAACTAGACAAAAGTTGAAGGTACCTAAAAAGTTGTCTTTTTTTCTGCCGTTTGTAAAGTGCTTCATTTCATGATATGCAAAAGGAAAAGAAAGTCAATGATTTGTCAATGACAGGACATGATTATCTTAAAATTACAGAAACCCTTGGGATACGTACGTTCAGTCGGACAGACGAGAGCAAAGTGACTTGAACTGGAGGAGTGCAGTGTAGACAAGGTAGGTTTACGCCAGACCGCGTCTTGTCGTAACAGGCTTCGCGATGTCTCGCTGCCTGTTCCTCCAATCCGCGCCTGGCGTACCTACCTTGGCCTGCGGCGCTAGCCTGCCTGCGGCAGGCAATGGCTCGTCCGTTGTCGGTTATTTTTTAACTTGTTGAATGCTGGGCCCCTACATTCTAAATAGAGTTGTTTTATCTACAGATAACACGATCTTGACCGTTGTCACTTTTTTACTTGTCGAGGCAGCCCCCCAGAGCCCCCTTTCTCCAAGGCAGAAGTGGTCTATCTGCAGAAATCTCTATTTTTCGCCGTTTTTTAGGTGTTTTTCGCCTATAAAAACTGAACCAGTTGAGCTAGGATGGTGAAATTTCGCGTGTGCCGAGCCAAGGACATACCCAAGAAGTGTGCTAAATCTCACCGAGATCGGCCGAGCGGTTCAGGAGGAGTAGTGCGGACAGACAGACAGGCAGACAGACAAAACTTCTCAACCCCACTGGAGTAACAGGCTTCGCTATCGCTCAGCCAATAACATGACGTTTTTAATTTAATTAAAACTTTGTTAAAAATCCATAAACTTAAAACATCTTACGATAACTTTAAAAGTCATTTGTTCCTATTTTTAAGCTTTAATTGGCTTGTATTTAAAATAACATACATTATCGAGAGATTTTCACGTTTCAGGGTTGCTTGCCCTGCTCCTCAAGTTTTGAAACCCCTCAAGCGCCTGTTGGAGGCCGAAGCAAGCACGTGGTGATTAGGGAAGACGAATAAACGTCACTGACACTGGAGGTATAAGGGAGTATGGGGCGATTTGTAACAGATTTTGGAATTCTCTATACAAAATTAAGAACATTTTGCATATCGGTTCCAAACTTGTGCCAGTTGAGCAGTCTGGCCCCTCATCTAGACTGTGCAGCTCCATTGGATCAATCTGGAGTCCGTAATCTTTGAAATCTAAGACGCTTTCCGAACCCTTGCATGCTGTTACGAATCGCCCCAGCATGGGGTGATTTGTAACAGCCATGGGGCTTTTCATAACATCCTACACATTAAATGAAACATCGTCGGGAATGTTACCTCCTCCAGCAGTTGTTCTTCGGATGTCCTGCAGACGCTTTAAAATCTACATTACAAGCTGCCGTTTACCGCTTAAGCATTAACCCTAACCTCACTTTTTTCAATTTTGGAGGAAAGAATAGAATAACTCGCTTTAAAATGCATTTTGAGCTGTGTAAATGTATTGGAATTAGGCAGCAGATGATTCGAGAAATAATTCAAGCATTTAATTGTGAAAACTACTTAAATTCTTGTTTTTATACGGGTCTTACGAATCACCCCAAATGCCTGTTACGCAAGAAATACGTCCCTAACTATCACTGGACAAAGTAAAAGCAACTTATGCCACGTGGTTACATTGTAAAGGGGTCACGCTTCAAGGCCCCAACGGTACTTCGATGGTGATTCATACCTGGGGAGCCTCAGACAGAAACTTCCTAGAACTCAAAATAAAAGATTTGCTTGTTTTCGGTGTACCCTTCATTTCAGACGCCCTCCAAAACTATAACTGAGAACCGATCACATCCGCTTCGATTGTTGAAGGACCCTGTACTTGAAGCGAAAGAGAGGCCATACTCAGATTTTCCTCTGCTCCCTCCACTTAAATTAATACACGCATTTGTTACGAATCGCCCCAAACTCCCTTACAGGAGAACAAGAATCTTTATTCAGGTTGTTTGATGTATATATGAGACAGAGGGAAGCACAAAAGGAACAAGAGTAGGTGTCGATATCTTGAACTCGATGAATGGTCGCTGGTGGTCACTTTCGACATTGTACACTGCTGACAACTGACGGCGTCTAATTCACTGCAAGAAAAAGTGTAGATAGTACAACAAAAGTACAACAGAAACTGTACAAGAAAAGTTCAACAGGGATTGTAGAAAGTACAAGGCGAATTTACAAACCACAACGAGCCCTGGACTGCACAGAACTCCTCATGACGGCTACATTGTACTTTGTACAACCATTGTTGTACTTGAAAAGTACACTAAATTCCTGATAGAAAATTCGCCAGAAATTTGTGTACTTCTGTTGTGGTTATTTCCTGCAGTGAACTCCTTTCCTCCACCCTGGGAGTTACCACGCACTGGCGCGCACGCTACCCCCACCACCGCTCTGCACGGCCTCGCAACGCTCGTTTGTTTCTCCCGTTGTGTCTCTGACTTCCGGTCGCACACAAAACCTATGTCTGTACTCAGTTCACTCCTCGAGTCGCGTGCTTGCAAGCATGCACCTCGAGGCCTGTACTTGCCTAAGCACGCACTTAGAAGTGTGTGTCTACTTGAATGAGTACACTCTAGAAACTGAAGAGAGTGCATGGCATGCTTCTCCTAGGAGTCAACCACAAAGCACGCTCTTCCCAAGAGCGTGCTTGCAAGCACACTCTTTCCAGGAGCATGCTTGCAAGCACACATTTTCCAGGAGCATGCTTGCAAGCACACATTTTCCAGGAGCATGCTTGGCAAGCACGCTCTCCCTAGGAGTATGCTCTTGCAAGCACTCTCTAGGATGAAAGCGTGCCTCTTCGTTAGTCCATATCCCCAGAGTGTGCTTGCAAAGCATGCTCTTGGGAAGAGTGTGCTTGCAAAGCATGCTCCTGGGAAGAGTGTGCTTGCCAAGCATGCACCTGGGAAGAGTGTGCTTGCAAAGCATGCTCCTGGGAAGAGTGTGCTTGCAAGCACGCTCTTGGGAAGAGCGTTCTTTGTGGTTGACTCCTAGGAGGAGCATGCCATGCACTCTCTTCAGTTTCTAGAGCACTCTTTAAAGTGCGTACTCAGTACACACATGGAAGTGCATGCCTTTTCCCTGTGCCGCGCATGCACCTCTCAAGTGTGTACTCATTCAAGTACACACTTGTAGGTGCGTGCTCAGGCAAGTACACGCCTCGGAGTGCATGCTTGTAAAGCACGCGAGTCGAGGAGCGTACCGAGTACACACACAGTTTGTGTGCTGGATTTCCTCCAGGGTCCTTTATATTTAGTGTGTGATACTATTCACAGTATTTCTTGCAGTTTATCGTGTCTTCAAATTTCTTGCTGGGATGATGCTGGACTCCCTGCAGCGGTCGCTCGAATGCGAAGTGTGCTACGAGCAGTTCAACCTCGCGGCGCGGCGGCCGAAGCTGCTGTCGTGCGGCCACACTGTCTGCTTGAGGTGCGTGGTGCTGATCTCCGACAAGGCGCGGAACGCGCGAAACGACGCCGAGACATCCTTCCTGTGCCCCATCGACCGGAAGGTGAGCGCCCTCGTCGCTTGCACAGGAAAAACCTACAAAGCATCGACTCGTAATGCAAAGAAAACGACAGCATTGCAGCACCACGAAGAAAACGAAAGCATTGTACGACGCGTTGAAGTGCTTCCCATCATGAAGCGAAGTCCTACGAAATACGGAGCACACTCTCAAAACCTTGCTTCGTATTACGAAGCGAGTCCGTAGAGTTCTTGCTGTGTACACGAATGTGCACTAAAATAGGTGCAGTTTTCCGTACCAAATTTCTATGAAAAGTTCATAACTGACGCGTCTCGTACAAAATTGTGCATGACATTTAGTGTGTAGACTTTCATGAGTGTGCCTGCTGCAAACGGCTGAAACGCGTGAAATATGTCTTGTGTTTCAAAACGATGAACAAAACTTATTGATTTGGGGTTACAGGAAACGCGACGAAAACCAGAGGAGCTGAACGACAACTACTACATCTTGTCTCTGATGCAGGAGCCTCCGAAGCGCGAAAAGAAGAGGTAAAGCGGAGCTGTGCGCCGAGTACGCCCCTTGTGCAGCTTGAAAATAGGCGTTCTTGCAACAAATCGATGCACTGATAAAAGTTTTGTCGTGACTCAGTGACACATTTGTTGCCAATTTTTTTAGCGATAAGATTTGTTGTCGGATGAATAGCTTGTTAAACCGAAGTCGCATTGGAACTAAAGGATAATTTCTCAACGGCAAACTTGTAATATCACATCAACAATGCACCCTCAAAAGCAAGTCATTGATCAACAAGTATTGCAAGTCGGCAAAGATTTTGTAATCCTTTTTTATGGTTCTACTTCAAATATTTAGTAATTTCCCTATGTCTCAAAAGAATGAAATAGATGATCATTCATAATCTGCTTTAATTGAGTAGATAATGGCTAAAGTTGTTGTTTCCACTCAAATTGTATTGTTAATGGTGATAACAAGAATTTTGATGTCCAACGACAAATTGTCGCTTACTAGATTCAATGACATTGGTTTCGTTTTGGTTCATGATGACATTCTATGTTTTGGAAGGACTAAATTTTCACTCATCTAATTGGTTCTGTACAACCATTTTTTAACAGTGGCTCTGTAAACTGAAGAGTGTACATACATGTTTAACCTGAAGGTTGAGGTTGACGCTTACTTGTCGTCCACTTGACAGAAATGCTGCATGCTGCAATCAGGTGTGTGCATGGCCATCCTTGCCCACAATCACACGGGAGCATTAGCGTGTACATGCCGTGTAGAGTTTTGTTCACAGCACGCGTGTCCCGTAGATAAAAAATTTGCGTCAACTTTCAGGTTGAATCTCTGGAAGAGTCAACCATGTACACTCTTCATTTTGCGGAGCGGTCTTGCCAGCAACAAGAATATTGCTTGGAAACAGTGGATTTTGTTTTGTTTCAGCTCACTATGGCAAAGTGTGGCAAAAACAATTCTTGCCATCTTTGCTGCCCTCTTTGCCGAAAGGGGCGTCGTTGGAGGAAACACTGCCAGGTTCTGGTGCTTGGACTGCCAGGCGGTGGCTGACCGCGTGTGCGAAGACGAACACGCCCTCCGCCGTCTGCAACAAGAGCGGGCCCAGCAGATGAAGCCCACACTGGACGTGCTGGAGCGCGCCGTCAGCACGCAGCGCCGGCTGGCGAAGGAGCTGGACACCGTAGAAGACTTCGTCATTGACTTCGTGCAGCAACAGGTATGACACACTCCTTCCAGGAAAGTGACATCACCACAGACAACCACCTATATACATAGACCGCCTGCTCCGTGTAAAATCCGTGAGGGCACAGCCAATCAGGGCGCGGCGTTGGGCGTCCAATCAGGGAGCGGCGTAAGACAGCCTCTCGGATTTTTCTCGGAGCAGGCGGTCTGTGTATATAGTTGGTTCTATGACATCACGTTGAAACGATTGTCACAAAATGTCCGCTCCTCTGAACGGTGTGTCACATTCGTCTGAATGCGAGTCAGCTAATTTATGGCTGATTTACATTCCAACGAATGTGGCACAACGTTCCAAGGAACGTGACATGTTGTCGTATTCGATTCGAAGTGACGTCGCGTTCCTGGAATGAGAGCGGAGGCTTGGTGGAACGCACCCGGGCCGTTGAGTCCCAAAGCACCACAATACCGAATGACCCGCCGTCGCGAGGAAGAACCTAATTGTTTGTGCTGCGCGACAAAGACCCTCGTGACTTTAGACAGTTGGAGTTTTTGAACCAGTTAAGTTGCCCTTCTCAAAGATTCACTTCTGTACTTCTCGATGTTTTCCACGGCTGTTAAATTTAAAGTTGGGTGGTCTTAGTGGGCCCCATTGGGAAGTGACAATGGTGCAATTAATTGGAGGAGGCGAAGCTTTCGTCGTGAATTTCAAATCGAGTCTTTACAGTGTTGTGCATTTTGTCTCGGCAGGTTTCAGAGACCACGGCGGCAGCCTTGCGAGGGCAGGAGGCGCTGCAGCGCCTGTACGACGGTCTGGACCTCGTTGGACCCGAGTGGGACCTCGTGGAGGCCGAAGTGGAGAAGGCCCGCCAGGAGAGTGAAGACAGGTAAGCCGCCACCAAGCCACGAAACCCAAAAGGCACTCAGATAACCTTAACTATTTGAGCACATGTCGGGGACAAACTGATCCAGGAAGCGGAAGAAAGGAACACTGGTAAAACTAAAGCGTAACTCTATGCTTGAGTCAAGCATAAAGTTACGCTTGAAGACGTTACGCTTGAAATCAATCATAGACTAGAAATTCCCCCATGCATTTAGATAGGAGGAATCTTGGCGGATGAGCCTGTTACGCTTGATTTCAAGCGTAACCTGATTACGCTTGAAAACAGTGGGTAATACTACGCTTTAGTTTTACCAGTGAACAGTTCGACTCATCTCAATATTGAGTTTGCAACTTTTTATCGTGCCTCAGGATGGTTTGCATCATTACACCAAATTATTTGACCCAACTCCTATCAGTTCCGGAGAAAATCCACAAGAAGTTGGATATTACTCAACTTGACCCCCTTTACGGTCTAAATTTCATTGGAAAATGGAGGTTACTCAACCACTAAGTCCACGTGACTCCGTTGCACAAACTGGCAAAAGGAGATATAACTCAACCTGTGTCTTAATGAATCTAATGTAAAAAGAATTAAGGTTACTGTAAAGTGAAAAAAATGTGAAATATCATTTCTCAATATAATTGTGGCATCATGTTTGTATTTAGGTTTCAGGTTGCTTACTATAAGATGAACTTAAGCTCAAAGTTGAGGCACTCAACTCCCATTATTTTCTGAGTTATTGAAGTTTACGTAACAAATTTAGTCGTTAACTAAAAATTCTCCTTGCGATGAACCAAAAGTTGTCGAGACTTGATTTTTGTTTTACAAGTTCTTTATTGATTTGCCTATCTCGTAGCAAAGCCGGATTTCCAAAATTCCAACATAAAACAGGAATTTTTCCCAAAAATACAATAAAACACCAAAAAATAGCAAAATTTTACCAAATCTAAGTAAAAAATTCAAAACGCATTTTCCAAACAGAAATTACAGCTCATCTATGCATATATTGTGAAATCCGGCTTTGCTAGTCTGTTTGCATGTCCATTGGGCCTTAAAATAAAAAATCACACCTCCGTAAACTTTTTGGTTCATCGCAAGGAGAATAAACGACTAAAATAACACTAAAACCCTCATAACTTTGGAACTAATGGGAGTTGGGAGCCCAGTCTGTGGCTGTAAAAGTTTTTCATAGTAAGCAACTAAATCACCAAAAAACCAAAGCACTGCCACCTATACTTTTGAAGATAGTTTTTTCACCTTACAGTAACCTTAACTTATCTTACCTCCTACTAACTAGTTGGAAAGAAAAAGGGAAATTCCATAAACATTTATAGTTAAAACAAAAATTAAAAGATAGTTGTTTATTTTTTATTTGACTTTTAATTTTCTGCTTTGCGCGCAGGATGAAATTTTAGCTTTTCTGAATAAAATGGTAAAGTGACTGCCATGGCATTGCACGTTGCGATATCTCAGCTGCATTGCAGGGCGATTCCGCGCGTAGAGGGCGTTTTCGTGTCCACACCCTCCCCAGGGCAAATTTATTCGAGTGCAGCCCATTTATGCACTTAAGAATCTTGTTTGGCACCAGACTAGCTTGTTCCCTTTGTATATGGACTTTCAAAGCCAACATGTGACGCGGGAGGGGGGCCAAAAGGGTCAATTTTGTAAGTTCCGTCATGTCCATTCGCACCTTGCACCAACTTTGCGGCTCTGTAACCATTTGTTCCATTCTAATCTTCGAATTTCACACACACCCATTAAATTTCTAACGTATAGTGACTATCTTGCTTGAATTTTAAGATCGTATATTGATAGGAAGTGTCCTTTTAGAACGCGTACAAAAATGTCCACCGTACTCCGACTTTTGCCTTAGTAGTTTCAAAGTTACCACCATAAAAACTACTAGGAGTGCTCCCTGCTGAAAACCACCGCCGTATTTAGAATCAGCATGGTCTGTTTACCCTATGAACGAATCCCGGTGGCGAAAAAGTAAGGGGGGTGAGTGTGCGAGTGGAAGTTGTGTGTGAAAACGGTGGGTTGTAACAATTGATGTAATTTCCGTATGCCCCACTCGCCCCTCTCCTATTGGGTTTAGAAAGTCATCCTACACGTGAAAGGGCGTGTCTTGACGTCGGACTAGTGTGCCAAACTTATAGCATATTTCTAAGGCGATGGGCATTTGTAGTGAGCTAGAAACATCTGTTTGTAATTTCCATCGAGCGTAATTTCCGTCATATTTTCAGTAAATTTCGTCATATTTTATAGGGGGAGAAAACGAAAGTCAACTTGTAGCTCGCCCACGCTCAGAGTGTCGTCCTGGTGTCCTATTGACGCCATCTAGGCAAAATTCCGGCCGAACAAGCAAGATTGATTACGTGACTTTCTAAGGTGGCTAAAACGGCCCCTACGTACGGAATCACCCTGCACCGTACGTGCTATACTCATAGCAGCGTTTGGAATCTCAGTGTCGTCCTACACTTGGATTTGCAGTGTAGTTTTTACGGAGATGACTGAGTAGACGCCCCCTTGTCTTCTCGCAGGCTGGCCGCAGACGAGCTCTCGCTGCAAGTGGCCGAGACGGGCAAGTGGGACGCCGCCGCCGGCCTCGGCGCGGACGGGCACGGCACGGCCGTGGTGCGGGGCCTGCTGCTGCACGTGCAGCGCGCCAACCTGCTGCGCCTCAACAAGGAGGACGTCACGCAGCACGACAATGAGGAAGCCGACACCGACACCCGGTCGCCAGGACGCTGGGGTCGAGAAGTGGTCCGCGTCGGCCTGCACGTCATTGTGGGTGTCTGGCTGTCCGTCGCAATGTTCCTGTGCGTGTTCCACTCGTGACGTTTCCGGACTCTCATTTGATTTGCAAAAACGGCCAACTCGACAGAAAAATAATGCAGCAATTGTACAGAATACATGACGTAAGTTAACTACCTATTTCAAATGGGGTTTTGTTGGTCTCAGCCGAGTGGGAACTCACTCAAAATTAGGGCGTGCGAACTATTTCGCGCCATTTAGAACAACATCGCCATAGCTATTAACTGCAATTTGTTCGGATACTTAAGTCATTTCAGAGATGCATCCCTTAGTTTCGAAAGAATTTGACCCCATTATTTCGCATGCCTATTGCCTCTCTGGTTCAACGAGGCAAAACCTTGTGTGCTGTGTCACTTTGTGAAGAACGGCATGGTTTCTGGCTTTTTAGAAGCGCTCGCTGTCCTGTCTGTGTTATGAGTACATTGTGAAGGCACTGGGTACAAAGGTAAAGTGCAGTTTTGTGTCCTTTACGCATCTTTTCTTCCATTTTATGTTTAATTCAGGCCTGGTGTGACATGACTGTCTCGCTGATTCTTATCAATCTATTTCAGCATGGTTAATAATTGTTACACAAATGATAGCCAAACCCTGTTATGTACTGTGGATACTCTCGCGGAAAAATAAAATTGACGGCTCTTGCCGAATAAAAAAAAAACATGTCTCTCAGTGCTACGAAATTATTTATAACCTATTCGTGAAGTCTTCCTTTGCTCCCCTCGCTTTACTGACCCAACGCTTTGGCTACTTGTTCAAAATTAGTGCCCTGGATATGATTTTTGAAAAAAAAAAAAGCTTCTACTCTACAGAATCAAATGTGTACGCGGGTACAAACTACTTATGACCTCACGCTCCTCCTTGTGTGAGTGCGCTCCAGCGCTGAACTCGGAGATTGCGAGGTGTTCTGCTCTGTGCCCCCCCCCCCTTTCCCCTTTTTTTCTTCTCCGACGACACTGAAAACCAAACGTGGTCTTGACCGCACCAACTAGTGTGGTCAAATGGGTGCCATTTTGACTGCATTTACACCGCGTCAAACGTGGCCCCTGATCTGCGGATTTAACCGTAATTTTGGCCGGTGACCAGGCTTGCTGCTTAACGAGTGATCAAGAGCGGGTTCTGGAATTCTGGTAATTTGAACCAATACTTTCAGGTTACAAAACCGTAATGGAAGAAAGAAGGGGCACAAAAAAGGTCAAACATTTCGTAGGGGCGACATCAAACTGTATATTTCAAATAGTTTTAACAATAAGGCTTGCACATACACAATAGGGCAGTTGACCGTGGATAGACAGCCCTAGGTTTTGCCTAGGCTTTCGACACTGCTGTAAGACCTACCCACAACCTATGTACACACAGATTTAAAAACAGCTCCGAGGCTAAAAAAAGACTACAATATAGGTTACGAATAATACATTTAAAAAATTATTCAGGCGCAGATTTTAAGTTATTGCTGCTCCGCTCCTTAAGAAACGCCCAAAATTAATGCATAACACTTAGAACATAAAATAAATTATTAAGGTAGAGCTTAATAGATGCTGCTGAGCTCCCTTAGGCTCAGTTTAAAGCATGCCTAAATTTACGAAAATTAATAAGTAAAAGAGTATTGAGCAAATTGTTGCTGCTGAGCTCCCAGAGGCATACCCAAGTGCTTCTCTTGGAGGGAGGGTCCTAGGATTCCCGAGTGGACCAGCTGACACAGACGCCACCCTCACTCGATGCTGACGTGAAAGGCTCTGTCCCAGTGGCCCGGCTCGCACCACTCGTCTGCAGGGTGGGTGAACAGCGAGTGCATCTCGCCGTCACAGTCGCGGCACTCGAACTGGTCGCAAAACGGGCAGTGTGGCTTGTCCTCGTGGAACGACTCCCACTCCAGGTGCAGCCCCGGGTACCTCCGCAGGACACCGGCTAGCTGGCCGGCGACTTGGCGGTGTTTCCCGTGGGCCAGCTTCGGGCAGTCGTCGAACTGGAACTCCAGGACCCCCAGCTTGGGCAGCACCACGCCGTCCAGGGCCTCCAGGAACTCGTCGGTCGGCTCCACGTCGACCTTCAAGCGGACCAGGCTCCCCAGAGACTGCAGGACGGACAGGCTTGTTAAAGTTGTTTTGAAAAAGAAACGCGACACCGGTAACGTTGATACGTTATCGCGCTAACGGTAATGCTCAGCGGGGAATGTAACGCGTTAACGATAACATCGTTAACGCGTTACCATTACCGCCGTTAATCCCCGTTAATTAACTTGAACTACCCTGAGGATGGTGGCCAAAGGACGCAGCTGCGGCGCAGACGTCTTCGGCTTCCACTCCTTCTTGTAGGTGAACTTGAAGGACAGGCTCCGCAGCGACGGGGCGGCACTGCCGCCCAGGCTCAGCACCAGGTCCACCGCCTCCGGGCGAGCCTCGTCGTCGATGTACTCGAAGGTGAGGTCCTCCAGGCGCGTCACCGCCGCGCGCAGGTACTTCTGGACCCCCGGGAAGAGATGCCGCGTGGAGGGCTCCTGGTTGCAAGGGGCAATCACTCAAATTCAGTGTACAAATCCAATGAAGTTCAGTCGAATTTCAATGAAGTTCAGCTGAATTTCGGTCGAAATTCGATTAATTTCAGTCAAATTTCGATAAATTTCAATCGAATTTAGATGAATTTAAGAAGTTTGATGAATTTCTATGTACAAATTTGGCTGGAGTCAAGGGTAATTCACCGTGAATTTCGGTGTACCAATCCCACGAATATTCGATGAATATCAGTCGAATTTCCGAGGGGGTATTCACTGCTGTAATAGTCTGTTCACCTTGGCCGTAATAATCCCCGTAAAAAATGGGAAATAACGCGTAATAATGTGTAACTAGGGGTACGCGCCGTTTTGTTTGGGCGCGTAGTAGGCGAGCGATGCGTCTGTATTCTTGTAGAAGATGGTGAAGAATTATGCAAAGTAAGGCCAATACAGGGTCAATGTAAAACTCAATTTTAAAAGTTTGGTCACAAATTGGTGAATTTTGGGGAAAGAAAAGGGTTTGGGATGAAATTGGAAGTCATTTTCGTGATCAGCACACCAAAAACTGCAGGAAAACTATGTAAAACTCGATGTAAAAATTTTGGTCCGAAATTGGAAATATTTGGAAAAGTAAAGGTCTGAGATAAAATTTGGAAGTCATTTTCGTGATCAGCGCACCAAAAACTGCAGGAAACTAGTAAAACTCGATGAAAAAATTTTTGGGTCCGAAATTGGTAAATATTTGGAAAAGTAAAGGTCTGAGATGAAATTGGAAGTCTTTTTCGTGATCAGCGCCCCAAAAACTGCAGGAAACTATGTAAAGCTCGATGAAAAAATTTTTGGTCCAAAAATTGGTAAATATTTGGAAAAGTAAAGGTCTGAGATGAAATTGGAAGTCATTTTCGTGATCAGCACCCCAAAAAACTGCAGGAAACTATGTAAAACTCGATGTAAAAATTTTGGTCCAAAATTGGTAAATATTTGGAAAAGTAAAGGTCTGGGATGACATTGGAAGTCATTTTTGTGATCAGCACCCCAAAATACTGCAGAAAGCAATGAAACCCCGGGGAAAATTTTTGGTCGCAAATCATGTAATTCTAGTTGAAAGTATGGGTCTTCAGTTGTTAGGTTTCTTAAGAGCGTTTCCTGTTCATAGTGTCATGCCACGAACCCTGACCCTGTTACTCGTCGAGTAACATTTAACAGCCAGCATTGAATTGCTTAATACGATTCACAAATTTTAAATTTACCATTCGATATCTCCTTGTTACTGAACTTATGAATACGCAATTTTATTAGTAATACCTAAATAGCCTTTCTCCCTTTTAGTTTAAACTAGTGGATTTAACTATATTGATTTATCTGCATTAATTAAAAAGAGACATATTTACAGGCAGGCTGATTTCAACTACTTTACGGAGAAGACCTTCTGTCAGATCCAATGAATCGTGTCATAGAATCCAATGTCGAGGCCACTTATTGCTAAATGCAAGTTTATCTTATTGATAATGATAGTCATGGTGTGTTATTTAATTTTTGAAACAGTTTAGCAAAAGTATTTACCTAACATTCTGAGTAAATTAAAAAAAAAAAACAAACTCAAACCATGACCAACACAAATTACCAGTTGTCGCAGACAATGTATGATTAAGTTAAAAGAATCGTCTCATGAAATCATATGACCAAGTCAGTGAATCGTCTCATTGAATCTGATGTCAATGTCAAACCCTTTAATGCGCTACACTCATCATCATATGGTTTTCTTTAAGGGTTTGTACTATAGTAAACTCACAGCATTGCAATGAAGCCTTTTTCCCCGAATCAGTGCCAAGAGTCAGCAAAGACTATTTATTTTGGCAAGATTAGCATCTGGTTTGTACTCATAGAATGTATTAATATATTTTCTAACTGTTATTTAGCAAAGCAAAAAACTGAAAAAAATAGTGTCTGAGAATATAAATGGAAATACACTCACAAAGGTTAAAAAGACCAAAACATTCTTGCAATTATCAAACACACTCCACTGACTAAAACATTTCCCCTGTGGGGGGGGAGGGGGGAGGGTGGACGGACGGACGAAACGCGTAATAATTGTTTTACTTTCATTTTTCCCTATTTCACTGAGTTGACTCTCCCGGGGGGGTTTCAATCATTCTAAAATATCGAAAAACTATGACCGTACTCACTTTAAGCCCTTCTGCTCTTTAGTTTGTTTTATTTGCCAATGTTTTGACAGGTCCCGTATTTAAGAGTCGCGGCCGCAAGTATGAAAAATTGCTACGAGCTGCCAAGCCCCTGCCAACCTAACCACGCTAAGAAACCCAATTCAAAAAGATGTTTTTAAAAATTTTTAAACAATAGTAATCGTGAATATAAGATAAACTCCCCCTGGGGGGGATTTAGGAGCCTTCCGGTGCGAAATTTTGAAACTATTTGTGCGGTAGTTGCTGAGAAACGTGAGTGAGTTACGGACACACAGACAGGGCAGACACGCACGACCAGTCACTTTTGGTACCCCCCAAAAACGGCATGGGCTCGCTATCGCTCGCCAATAATGTAAAAAATGAAAAAAATGTGTAATAATGTGCAATAACGTGTAATAACAAATAAGGGGTAATGTACGCATTTTGTACTGAAATTTTGGCACATATTGGGTACAAAATGAAATTTGGGCTTAATTCGCTACTCTGTGCAGCAATATTTTCTACCCTTCGGTGGTCCCGCCATCCTTTCTGTTTCCCCCCTCTTCCCCCACCCTTCCCTACCCCTTCCCCCCCCTCCCCGATGTTCATGTTGGCGGGAAACGGCACGGTGGAGTGGCTGATTTCATGAGGCTGCGCACACTTGGATCAGAGCAAGAAAGGTTGCCAAGAAAATTTTCCGCTGCGGGAAAGCTCAAAAAAAAAAAAAAAACTTCTTAAGGAAACAAAGAGAAAGCTCATAGAAAAGCTGAGTGAGGGGTTTTCTATCCGTACGCAGCTTTTTCATTGAAACTCACTGTTCTTGGTTACACCCTTAAAAACAAATATGAAACAAAAATTTGAATAAAATAAATTTTGGTTAAAATTCCCTGCTGATTATTTGGGCAAAATAGTAAAATCATGCTCTCCTGAAAATCTTAGAAATCCTATCGGTAAGGGGGGGTATTTGGAAAAAAAAAACCATCGGAATCTCTCTGCCCATTCAAACAAACTTAAAATTTTAGTAGCATGTAAGTAACAGCATTCTGTAATATGAAAAACTACAGTTAATGGCGAACACGGGAGGGGGGCAAGGTGGTGCTGGGCTTCCCCTTTTGGTCAAAAACGACCGTAATAATGACTGTAATAATCCTGTAATAATCCTGTAATAATGTTAATAATGTAAAATAAAGCAAAATAATGTGTAAAATGTAAAATAATGTGTAATAACGCGTAATAATTGTAATAAGCGTAATAGCGACTACTCTGTGCGCCAGTTTTCGAAGTGAATACCCCCTCGCGAATTTCCGTCAAATTTCGATGAATTCCAATCGAATTTCGATTAATTTTAAGGAATTTCAGTGAATTCTGCAAGTTTGATGAGTTTCGGTGTACAAGTGTGGCTGGAGTTATTTCCCCTTGGCTGGAGTTATTTCCCCTTGCCTGGTTGACGCGGAGGTGCAGCGACTTGAGCGCCGCGCACTGCAGCAGCACCGGCATGTCGCGCAGCAGGGGGCAGTGCAGCTCGCGGAGGCGGGGCAGCGAGCACAGCAGGGGCACCGCGCGGGGAGGGGCGGCCCAGAAGTGCACCACCTGCGTGGAACAGAGAAGGCGATTCGATACTTTAAGAAAGTGTAGAGGAGGACGACGGGAGAGGAGGAGGAGGTGGAGAAGGAGGAGGGGGAGGAGGAGGAGGGAGAGGAGGAGAAGGGGAGGGGAAGGAGGAGGAGGGGAAGGGGGGAGGGAGGAGGAGGGGAAGGGGGGAGGGAGGAGGAGGGGAAGGGGGGAGGGAGGAGGAGGGGAAAGAGAAGGAGGGGAAGGAGGAGGAGGGGAAGGAGGAGGAGTGGGGGCACTCCCCAAACTCAGGAGTGCATGGCATGCTCCACGTGGGAGTGAACCACCAAACACGTTTCTTCCTGAAGTGTGCCCCCCCCTGGAGCGGGAGCGTGCTTGCGAGGGGTAAGCACTAGCGCGATACTCGAATCACTCTGTCCGTAATAGCACGCCCTATTGCGCAGAATACTATGCAAAATCGTGGCGTAATAGCAGAAATTTTTAGAATTCTAGGGTTTTTGGGGGGGTTGGTTAGAGCTGCGTTTGGCCAAATCTGTGCGCGCATACCTCTAAAGTGGCTGCATTCCACTTGAGTTGCAGGGGCAGGTAAGGGCTTTTGAACCATGTTCCATGCACCAGTGCTCGCAGTTTCGCCGGCCTTGGGACTTCGTACTTCGCTGCATTCAGGAGCGCTGGCGTTTTCTTGAAGTAATCTTGTCCAGCTGCCGCGTTGACGTCCAGGTTGATCCCTTCCAACCCTTCAACAAAGAAATAGGCATTCAAAGAGGTCGGCCTCTCCCCTCTCTCGTTGTTGAGGCAGCGTCTCAATCCTGAGATTCTACGTGAGGCCCCACAACACTATGCGTAAAAACTACAGTGAATCCTGATTAATTATTTTTTTTGCCACAATTTACTGAAGTTCAGAATACAGGATTTAGGGTACCAGGATTCACTGTACCTTGTACAGGATTTTCCGTACTCCACCTCTGTTGCACAGTAAATCCCGTAGAAGTACAGTAGATCCTGTAAAAAAAGTAGAGGAAATCCTGCACTCTGAACTACAGTGACAGCTGTACTAATCGTTACAGGATTTACTGAAGTTTTATCGCACAGTGAACTTCATTTAAATTTTAAAAAAATATACCGAAATGGATTGATTTGATAATTTCATCGAGAACTGGAGCTTTCTGAACAGCTCCGGGGAAAATGTGCCAAGCCAATGAATTATTGTCCTCACCCACCAAATTCTTTATCTGATGCCTGAATGAAAGGCCACGTACTGATCGATAGATGGGCGGACTTCAGGCGTCATTTTGCAGGTACAACATGGGGTAAAGTCGAGGGTAAAGTGATGAAAATCAATTTTCGGTTTCTGCCTTTTTTTCAACTCTTTGGGCATCGGTACCACCAAACCTGAACATATTTCAACCCACAGCACCGTCAAATCGGCATAGGAATATTTAAGTTCGAAGAAGCATACAAATTTGTTTCAGTTTTACCGTAATCCAAATTGGTGTACCTTGGGCATGAAGCAGTCGTTCAAGAAGCAACCGTAAGTTGAACAAGCAAGTTTTCTTTTCATCCGGGTCTTCTTCGCAACTCAACTTCAGTTTCACATATTTCAATCGTCCTAAGGCAGCTTGCCTGCAAGCAGAACATAGTATTCGCATTGCATTGAGGTAAAAACAGCACACGTCGCGGTAACCCCTTTCTGAACAAGATACCGTCAACGGATCACTTCGGAGACCAGGGGCAACTTTGGACGAGCTTCCTTACCGGCCTGAATGGGAATCTAAGTACGCGACACCTGTCTGAAAACTACCCACTGTAAGCTAGTACGACTTACCAAAGTTACCCCCCACTGGTTGAACAAAGGCATACGAACTGTGCCCAAACAGCGCCTTACTGGGCGTTAACGATTTACGATCCTGGAACGGTAATAACCGTTTTAATGCCCTTTCAGAAAAGCGTGAATCGGTAATGGACTCCCAGCTGAGGTATAATTTTAATGCCCTTCCAACATGCCCTTAAGGTGAGGTGCGTGTAAAAATTGGAACCAAAATTGATCAAAATGAAAAATTTAATTCACATGACATTTTAATGAACAACATTCTTCTACTACCGACAGCATGTCCTGAAGGTCTGTGTCATGAACCCCTAGGTGAGTGGTTCATCTAAAATGGACTGATGTATCTATGCGCCTTTTCTAGTGACCCAACTCTTGCAGCAAGTGTCGAAGAAATTTTTTTTCTACTTCGTCAAACAGCCACGCATTCAATTATGTTTTATACTCATAATACTTATTGGAGTAGTTCTTCGTGGTCCATGTAAACAATGTAACAAAGAGATATTTCAAATAGCTGGCCACTTTCTCAAATCGTTTAACTCAAAGTGGTAAAAAAAAGAGGAAAACGGTAATTTTATCCAATTAAAAAATTGCTAAGTTTGCTGTGTCAAAACAAAAAAATAAAATTCAAATATCTCTCTGTCACATTGAATTATAGGGGTCTAGGTAAGTCCAAAACCAATTTCAGATAATTTCGTCAAACAAATTTGCGTAGCTGATTTTTCTACTAAATGCATAATTTCAATGAAAACAGCCTACTGCGGCTAAATGGGTGGATGGATTTAGATGAAATTTGGTGTGACATAGGTTCCTACCTAGTACTCAAACGCCCTAAACTTTCGACCACCACAGACAATTGGTATTATAGAAGTTCCTATTATCACCCCCACTCCACCTTAAAGGCAAAGTTTTTAGGCCTTGTTTTAACAGTGCCCGTTGACGGTAAATTGACGACAATAATAACCCTTCGGGACGCACGCACCTTTCCAACACAATCACGACGAGCACCGCGTCTGTTGGTTGGAAGGTCAAGTCCAGCTCGTAGATGGCGCAGCTGGTAGAGGCAAGGAGAACGCCGAGCTGGGCAAGGTGGAGCGAACTTCCCACGTTCAGCCAGCGAAGGCACGGCGCCAGGCGCAATGAAGCGGCGACCAGCTGGTTGTCTCTGAAAGTAGTACAGTGTATCGTTACAAACTCCACATTCATTTTTAACCACATTTAAACGAGTTACCAAATGGACTGCAGAGAGAGTTGTTCGGACTAAGTATGTTTGAGACTGCTGAGATTCAATAATTTCCGGATAGGATAAATTGGTTTGGGCGAGGACGGTTTTTATACAAAAACTGCGGAACACGGGGGGGATTTTCGTCGATTATGACTTGCACAATATCGATAAAATCCACAATTCCCAGTGATTCTATTCTAATTCATATTGCGCGAGTGTTACAAGCAGTGTGGGTAATCAACGTCCAGTGCATTCCGGTCAAGCAAAAAAAAAAAAAAAACGAAAAACGAAAAACACTTCCTTAAAAATTGTTCAAAAAGATTTAAAAATCAGCATTTTTCATTCATGAAGCACTTGGGGCATGTTAATTTTGGGGCTGCATGCCCCGGGTCATACGTTTCAACATGTACCTTTCTCCGTTGAAAAAATTACGTCAGCATCGCGTTTACCATCGAAATGAACCAGCAGCGGAAGCTTACTCGGGGTGCGCCTTGAGCCACATGTAGCGCCAGAGGTCCGGGTGGAGCGCCATGTCCCTCAGCCTGCGGCACACACGGCGGCACTCCAACAGCTCCTTCGGGCCCAGGTAGCTCAGCACGAACAGAAGTCCCTCGTCCGGCAGCTTGTCAAGCCCCACCTGGAGACACACGCAGTATAAATTCAATCAGGACTAAAATGTTGAGGCAGGTATTCTTTATCGCCCAAATGTGGGTAAAAATTATTTTACCACCTTAACTTGGGTGGTACATGTTTCCTCCCAAGGACTTTACTGTAAGGACAATCAGTCCCTGCATTGTCATTCAGTGAGAACGGAAATGTAATTTATAGCTTTACTGACTAGAATTTCTCGGTTGTTTTCTCGCCGGTACAACGATTGCGCTAACGTTATCCCGTTATTACAGTTTTTTTCATAACCAACCATTTTTGGAATGGATAAGGCAACAAAAGGGGCCTAAAATTAATGAGCTATTCAAGGGCATTAACCATCAATGCTACAACAGGAGGAAAAGCTCTTGAAGGCCATAAAAGTAATGCATTAATTTCTCCGGCGATTGGTGTGGTTTGCTAGCAGTTTGGACTCAAATTGCATGGGAGTAGAAATGTCTTACCACGGGGTCGACAACTATCCTCGGCCGTACAGAGTATTGAAAGCGAACTCACCTCCGAGCTGGGTTCATCTGCGCTACACTGCACTGTGAGGCGAAGTGAAGTATCCTCCACCAGTCGTCGCTGTTGCACCTGTTGCTCCACGTCCTTCAAGAGGGCCCTCGCCGACTCCAAGTCGTCCGCGGCACTCAGCTCTTGGGCCACCAGCATCGCTAGTCGGTCCTGGACCTCCGCCAAGGCCGCCACGTCATCCGAGGCGTTAGAAGAGAAGGCATTGGAAGTGGAGGCGTTAGACGAGGAAGCGTTAGAATAGGAGGCGTTAGAGGAGAAGGCATTGGAAGTGGAGGCGTAAGACGAGGAGGTGCTAGAAGAGGAAGCAGTCTTCCGCTTCTTGGCCGCGGGAGGCGACGGCTTCAAAGATGCGTCCGTCAAATCCTGAGAATTCATTTTTACAAAAGGGCAGAAAATTGGGTGAGCGTAAGGTTTTTTTCCCTCACTGAGATTCCTAACGCTATGAATATAGCACGTATGGTGCAGTGCTCTGAGATTTCGCACCAAACGTGCATGGGAGGGCATTGCACTTCATGTGCAATACACAAACATTGCACCAATTGACGCTATATTCATAGCGATTGGATTTTCAGTGTTTACTTTCAATCTTTGTGCATGCCTTGTGGAGGAGACCCTGGTGAAACTTGAAAGTATTCTTTAACCCCCCTCCCCCCCCCCCCCCTACATGAAACTTTGGCCATTTATTAGGCGAAGTATGACGAGCTCTCAGAACGAAATTAAACCCAAAGAACTTATTTGTTCCTGAAAAAAAGTCTTATTTTAATGCTTTATGGAGCGTCAGCAAAAAATCTTCCTACATCTTTCATTGGGACGGAAAGTTTTGGAAATTTTTACGGGTAATACTTGAGATGTCCTCTACAGATTTTAGTGGTACAGTTTTCAATTTCAGCTTTTGCTTTAGATAAGACATATTTGAATTTTAAAAAGTGCTTTTTTTTTGCACTTTTGGCCTTTTTTTTTGTGCTTTAACACACTGTTGTAACTTAGAAACACATTTATTGCTAATTTTTTTAGCATCAAGGTTTGTTTTGAAAAGAATAGCTTGTAAAACCAAAGTCGTACGAGAACCAAAGGATAATTCCCCAACGACAAACTTGTAATGACATTTTAACAGTCTACCTTCTAAAATAAGTCGTTGACCAACAACAAATGTTGTTAGTCAACGACACAGTATTGTAAGTCTCCAAAGATTTTGTAACGTCTGCAACAAGTAATTTATTGAGTACTTTTGTCAATAAATTTAGTTTTCATGGGTTTATTACTAAGGGGGCATCCATAAAGTACGTCCGCACTCGAAGGGGGAGGGGGAGGTGGCCTAAAGCGGACGTTGGTGGACGTGAGAGGGAGGGGGGGTCCGAGGTGGTCGGACGTCCTACTTTATACGAAGAAAATTAAGAAAAATAACAGGAAAAGTAGCGATATACATCGGCAACTTTGGCCCGTCCCGTACATTAACAAATGTGTGAATTTCTCCTTTGTGACGGGTTTGAACCTGAGTCTGGGGTCAAAATAGATGTTATTTTCGTCATCAGCGCCCTCAAAAAAATAAGAAACAATGCAAAAACTCGAATAAAAAGAAAGTTTAAAATATACCCCACTAGGATTTGAACCCGGGTCCGAACTTCTCCGATTCGTTCGAAAGTGGCACCATTGGTTTTTTCTCGTCGCACCGGTTCCAAAAATACCCCTACATGCCATGCTAGCTGCATCCGTTGCCGAGATCCTCCTCGACCCCATGTAGACCATGATGCACCTGCATTTTTTTTACAAAAAATAAACGGGACGGGCCAATTAGACGATTTGCGCCGTTTTTACGCGCCCCGCCGATGTCAGCGGCGACGGAAACGGAACCTAGTCATATTTTTATTTTTATTTTCTGACTATATTGTAATGCAGAAGGCCTCTTTTTGTGACTTAACACGCGTTTTTTATCAGTTTACCCCTAAAAAGCGCTTTATTGTTGAAATTTAGAATACTTTGGTCAAAACGGACGTCCAAAGGGGGGAGGGGGAGTCGCCGAATGCGGACATTGGCGGACTGGGGGGAGGGGAGGGTCAAAATGACCGAAAAAAGTGCGGACGTACTTTATGGATGGCCCCTAACACTAGTAATATCCTTCTGACTTAAAAGGAAAAAATAGATACTTAATTATCATTATTTTAATGGAGCAGATAATGACAAAAGATGTTGTTAGAACACAAATTGTATCCGTAATGGTCATGACAAGAATTTTGTTTCTACGACAAATTGTCACTGTCTGGATTCAACGACATTTGTTTCGCTTTAATTCATGATGACATTCTATGTTTTGAAATGACTAAATTTTCACTCATCTGATTGTTTCTGTCCAGCCAACAGTGCATTGTACTTTGTATAACAATTGTTGTACTTTGTACAACAACTGTTGGACTTTGAAAGTACAATAAATTTCTGATGAAAAATTTGCCAGGAATTTGTGTACTTTAGTTGAGGCTTTTCCTTGCAATGCATTGATCAATTTCCTACCACCGAGCAATTTCACATACTCTCCCGGTTAAGTAGACTTCGGACTTCCGGCTCGCACCTCTTTCGAAATACACTATCAAGAATAAGAGGAGTATATAGCACGTGCTGGATATACCGTAAGCCGGGGTAATATGAGACAATTTCGAGGTAATATGAGACGCATGATTTTTATCGTTAGAGTTATAATGCTCATGGCATTTGATGACTTATCCCTGTCAAACTTCACGGCAAAAATGGTACCATCAGGAGTTATTAATTTTTTACAGCAGTGGCTCTCTTGATGGCCGAATAGCGGGCTCAGAGTGAATCCTGCTCAAACCAAACTCCGTCTCATATTACCCCGAAATTGTCTCATATTGCCCCGGCTTACGGTAACGTTGAAATCCCCACTCACCTTTGAGGTGTCTAACGGCTCTTTCGACTCCAGCAGCTCCCTGCGTGCCACGGCGTGGTCCCTGCCGAGCTCCGCAAGCTCCACCTGCTCCCTGGCGATGTCCACGGCCACCTCCGCCGCCTGCAGCTTGAGCCGCTGGATTCGCAGCGTCACTTCCGCGGCTTCCACCTCCAACTCAGCCAGCCTCGAAGCCATCACAATCCTGCAGTGAGAAACCGGGGATCTGACACTTTGACTGAACAGTTAAAAAGAGGCACACATGCAGGATACACTTTCATTCCAGAAACACGACATCAATTTGAAACGAATGTGACAAAATCTCACGTTCTTGTGTCACATTCGTTTGGATGTGAATCAGCCTTAAATAAGCTTTTTCACATCCAAACGAATGTGACACAATGCTCAAATGAACGTGACATTTCGTCGGATTCGTTACAACGTGATGGCACGTTCCTGGAATAAGAGTGTATTCACTGATAAAGGCAAGAAGTTGAGGTAGGCTACTGCCCTCAATCCTCCCGCAAGGGCAACAGTTTTGTAACAGTAACTAAACGCCTTGCCTTGGTGCCTTGGGCGTTGAATAACGTAGGGGTTGAGCTACTAACTGCCCTGAGGGGCTGTCCATTAATTACGTTACGCACTTTGGAGCACTTTTTGCCCTCCACCCTTTCCCAAGTGTTACGCAGCGTTACGCTGGGCCTGAACCCCTTTACCCCCTCTTACAGCGTAACTTTACGCACAGTCTCTCAGATAACCACATTAATACTCTTATTTACCGTTTGAACTTCGCTGAAATGAGCTGATTATGGCAGTGCTGGGTTGACGGCTTGCCCGACGGGGCGCATTCGGGTCTCTCCGTGCACCCGAAAAAGTATAGCCTCCCTTGGTGCCTGGAAGCATGCTGGAAGTGCCTGGCGGGCGCAACGGCTTGGAACCAGGCGCATCAGGCTGACTGGTGCCCTTCCGAGGACGGGGTTTCCCGGAAAGAGGGTTCGTCGCCGGCAAGATTCAGGCGAACTAGCGCGCGACTGCGCTCCCCAGCGGGAAAACTCCCAGGGCGCGATCGTGGTTCGGGCGGGCTCGGGTGCCGAAGGCGCGCGATCCGGGCGCTCTCTGCTCGGTGGAATCTGGCGACTGGCGAGGCAGTGCCAAGTGCCAGTGGCTGCGTAGTGGGCAAGCAAGCGGCAAGCTGACGCTGAGCTTTTGCCAGTGGCTGCGTGTCGTGTGACTCGTGTGCTGAGACAGTGCGTGTCGGCGGGAGGTCATCGTGGTCGTGGATCGGAGCGACGCCTCCAAAGTAAGTTCTACCGATATTTCGGACTCCTCGTGGTAAGGTTTATCACAGCTCTTCGGAAAAAGTTCCAAGTGCACTGCAAAGGGACGACGCACAGTGGGCCAGATGACCGGTGGAGGAGGCAAAAACTCTAAACGCGTTTAGAGCTCCAAAGTCGCTGAACAGGACTCGAACCGAACGTGTGACCCCACCAATGGATTCCTCGTTGGAAGAGCAATCCGTTGGTGGGGTCACACGTTCGGTTCGAGTCTCATTTAGCGACTCTGGAGCTCAAACCGCGTTCAGAATTTTTGCCGCCTCCGCCGGTATTCTGCACTGAGAATCCAAACGCTATGAGTATAGCGTCAATTGGTGCAATGCAAAAGCATTGCACATGAAGTGCAATGCCTTCCATTTCCCATGCATTACCATAGGGCCTTTTCGGGAAGCATTGCACCAAAGGTGCAATATGGCTGAGGCATTGCACGTATGGTGCGATATCGCAGCGCATTGCACCATACGTGCTATACTCATAGCGTTTGGAATCTCAGTGTGGTCCACTGTGCGACGTCTACGATGCTTGCTTGTAGTTTGGAACTTACAGCATGTAAGTCTCACGCTTGCTGGTGCCGTAAGACTAATAAGAGTAGACGCCTGCAAGAGTAGAACATGAAGACCAAACCTAGTGTGGAACTGTCCCACACTTGAGCACGACGTTATGCGATTGAGACTGTCGTTTCGTTGGAAGACAAGAACGCGCATACACACGCAGTGGTTTGTACCTTGTCATACACAACTTTCTTGCAACAGTCTCTCTTTAAACTTACTCCACAAGTTTTTAGGCTTTGTTCTATGCTAGAATACAGACGGTTCGTTTGGGATGCGAGAGCGTTGAATTACGTTGATTAAGATAGTTACTCTGGGGAGTTTTAAACATTTTAAAGAAATTTTGTCCTTGTTGCACTTTTTGGGTGTCATGACCCTTTTTGCCCCTCAACAACTGGTGGCTAAACTTCAAGACTTCTTCATCGGTGAAGAGTCGAAGGGAATCATCTGTGGTCGACTTGACGATTGAAAGGTTTCGTTCTAATTTGGAAGCAGAAGGTGTTTTCTGCAGGTTAGGTTGAGTAAGGTAAGCTAGTCCCTACTATGCCTCTGTCATTACTGACCGAAAACTATCTAGCTAAACAAGTTAGTTGTGCGCTAGCTAGACCGTGTCTTGTCGTTGTCTTCGCGATGCTGCGCCAGTTCCGACAATCCACGCCTAGCGTTTCCCGACAACGTAAGACGTCTTCACCGGCAACAAAAGTTAAATATCTTCTCTAAATACACCGGTGTGTGAGTGTTACGGCATTGGTGGCAAATTGCGGAAGAAATCTTAGTAAGCGGAAGACATCTGACACAAGTATTTTTTTGGAAATTTAGTAGACACGTTTAAAAACATTAGGTTGTCATAAGATTTTGTCAGCATACTTGCTCAGATCTGAGGGGGGAAATCAGGGAGACTCATACCTAGTAGTGTCATAGAATTTACTAGAATGGGCTTTTAAGGGGAGGTTCTGGTGAAAATCTTGCCACTTTCCAAATGGATCCCACTGTCATAATTTGTTCGGAATATATAATTTTTCATTGAGGAGCCTAAAATTTGAGTTTTGAAGGCACATGCTAGGCTGTAAACCCAGTCGAAGAGTCTTTTTGAGCCTATTTTGGCTGTATCTTAAAAAATCTCCTTGCGCATACTATTTTGTCGTAAAAGGTTGACCTTGACATTTTTCTCTTCTTCGATTCATTTTCAAAAGATTCCGGCATGCATAGCTCAAAACTTCTATTATATTATTAATTGTTAGCTTTTTGAGCTGAAAAGTCCCTAAAATTTGTCTATTTTGTACATTTTTTATCAATTACAGTGAAATGCTTGGTTAGAAAGCTTGCGATAAAAATGCAATTGACATTTTGAGATGTGCATGCCAGCTTTGAAAAATGAATCGAAGAAGTGAAAAATGTCTAAGCCAACCTTTTACGACAAAATAGCATGCGCAAGAAGATTTGCAAAGTTATAGCCTAAATGGGAGAAAAAGGCTCTGCGACTGGGTTCAGGGCCTAAAGTGTGCCTCCCCAATGAAAAATTTTAATAAATACTTGATAAGACATCAAATTTTTAACAAATTTTCACAGTGGGACCTATTTAGGAGATAATAGCATTTTCACCAGAACCTCCCCTTAAAATGCAATAGTTTTCAAGAAAAAGCCATCAATTTTTTTCATACAATTTTTTAACAATTCTAAAAAATTAAAGCTATTGTATGCAGAGACGTCAATTTGAATAGCTTTATAAATTCACTCCTTGAAGGCTGTTATTTACCATTAACAAGTGTCCCATTTTGGTCGGGAAGGTCTAAAGTTCATTCGCAGCGTATATTTCTCATAGAAACACATTTCTGACTTCCGTGATCTTTCGTCTTCTGGGCCAGAGCTCCTTTGGGGTACTCTATCCGATCAGGATAGAGACCCCTGGCTCCCGGTCCAGACCTTCCCTGCAACACATACAGCCGCGAAGAGTTCGCAAGGTTTAAGCTGTGCTGTGAACGCTTTCATTGTTGTTACAGAAAGTGCCGGGCTTCGCTGAGAGTCATCTCTCCCCGTCTCCACGTCCAGTGTGGTTCTGCTCCAAGATGTCCGTTGCACCGTCCCACCTTCCGGCTGACGATGGAAGCACGGACAGCCACAGCCCTTCAGATGAGGTGAGATGTGTCTGTTTGCTCAGTGCGAATGCTCGCCAATACGAATCTTCGCCAAATCCTATTAAAGTGGCATGATCATTTCCAAATTTTTGAGCTCTTTCGCTCTTTTAAACCACTTCATTCTTAGTCATAATCATGACTCATTCATTCTCAGTGTTCAGGGGCGCCCACAAGTTTTGAGGACGGTGGTGCGGGGACCTCGTACCTCCCTCCCTCCCGGGCTGAAAACCTCCCTCTTTTTGACCCGTTTCGTATTTTTCCAATAGAAGGTCTCTCCTTTTCCTTCTCTCTTCTTCTTTCCCTTTCCCCTTTCCCCTTTTCTCTCCCTCCCTCCCTTTTACCTCCCTGCCTCCCTCTCCTCCTCCTAACCTCCCTCTTTTCTGAATTTACGGTGGTGCGGCCGCACCACCGTAAACCCCGTGTGGGCGCCCCTGTCAGTGTTCAGCGACATTGTGTGTAACTTCTCACGTCAGAGCAGTGAAGGAAAAAATCAATTGTGGGTCGCTTTTTTGAAAAATGCATTTTTAAAATATTAATGTTGAAGAAGTAGCCAAAGTAAGAAGCTTTGAGACATGTTAAAATGATCCCTTGGACTACGTTTTGCAGCATTTAGGAGGTGGTCAGGCACAAAAGTCTCGCCATTTTGTGCTGAGACTTTGGTGTCTGACCGTTTTGTGGCGAGACTTTTTTGTCTGACCAAATTTTTGCGATACTTTCAGATCTGACTTGGCGAGACTTTTTTGTCTCGCCCTCGCCTCTGGAGTGGCGAGAAGTCTGACCTTTGGATTTGTAGTGATGAGGCTGGGAAGGGTTCTCGGCCGCGTTCGGAACAAGCTCAATGGTATCAATGTCACACTTGTCGCAATGTGCAATGTTTACAAACTCCTCCTCGAACTGTTCGCTGCAGGAGTGCGAGCGCTGCGTGGTGTGCCTGACGTGGAGTGCCCGGCCCTCGCGCGGCGGGGTGAGCTGCAGCCGCTGCCAGGACGAGTTCTACTGCGGGGACAAGCACCGCACGCAGCACCTTGCCGCCCACAAGAAGGTGTGCTTCCAGCCCAAAGGCCTCCAGGCCCCAGCGGTAAGTGACGGACACACTCTTATAGCACGTTGCTTACTTTTTCTCATTAATTACGTACTTGTATTTTTAAAACCCACTTAAACTCTTCTTTTGACTCACGTGAGAGGAAACGATAGGCCAAAACCAGCATTGGACTCCCCATAAAGAAAATTACCACTTTTACGTCAAATTAACACATTTCGAAAACTTAAAAACTAAAATGGCTGTGGAATCCAAACCGCTTGATGTTTTTGAAACCCCTTTGGCATGGGTGCTCAGGGGGTCGGTACCCATCACCCAAGACCAAAAAATTTGGAATCTGAGATGGGTCATTTTAGGGATTCGATGGTCTCACAAAGAATGGCCCTCACTGCACTTCACTTCTCGAATCGTCTGCTTGCGCTGCGCCAATCCTAGGTATGAGAAACTTACTGCTCTAGAAACTGAAGAGTGTGCATGGCATGCTCCTCCAGGGAGTATGCCACAAAGCATGCTCCTCCGTAGAGTGTGCTTGCAAGCACACTCTACGGAAGAGCATGCTTGGCAAGCACACTCTACGGAGGAGCATGCTTCAAAGCACACTCTAGGATGAAGGCGTGCCTCTTCGTTCATAAGAGCCTTGCAATAGCGACGCAGCACGCTTTATCCTGGAGTGTGCTTGGAAGCATGCTCCTCCGTAGAGCGTGCTTGCCAAGCATGCTCCTCCGTAGAGTGTGCTTGCAAGCACACTCCAGGATGGAGCGTGCTTTGTGGCATACTCCATGGGGGAGCATGCCATGCACACTCTTCAGTTTCTAGAGTGTGCAGCACTATCAATTTCTCCTGCCTGGGATTGGCGCAGCGCAAGCAGACGATTCGGATTCGTAAAGTGCAGTGATCACATGGAGAATAGAGGGGATGGAGGATCGGCTGCGAGTCAGAAATGAACTGCCCGCTGCGTCCGGTAGCGTCGGGGGTTGGGAGTACGCCGCCCGGCCACCACGCGGCGCTGCGATCGCTATGCCTCCACTCTGGGTTGGTTCCAGCCGGGTCCTTAGGGAAGACTCATGTAAACCAGCGTGGAATGGTTCTCTATTCTCCATGGTGATCAGGACAACTCAACTTCCGGCGCTTTACGGCCTTTAGGTGGCGGTCAGACACAAAAGTCTCGCCATTTTGTGCTGAGACTTTTGTGTCTGACCGTTTTTTGTGGCGAGACGTTTTTGTCTGACCAAATTTTGGCGATACTTTTAGATGTGGTTAAAACTTGGCGAGGCTTTTATGTCTCCCTCTGGTGTGGCGAGAAGTCTGACTTTTGAACTTGTAGTGATGAGGCTCACACTAAATGCTATGTACAATTTTGTACGAGACATCGCAGGTTTTTGTGCACACAAACTTTTCGTACAATTTTTGTACGAAAAACTGCACAAATGTCCCCTTTTTATGCAAAATTTTGTACAAAATTGTACGAAAAGTTCGTGTGCACAAACAACTGTGATGTCTCGTACAAAATTTGTACAAAAACATGAAGTTGCGCTGGGAAGGGTGCTCGGCCACGTTCAGAACAAGCTTAATGGTATCAATGTCACACTTGTCGCAATGTGCAATGTTTACAAACTGTGGTCCGTCCTGCAGGGGGTGTGCGCTGTGTGTGGTCGCAAGGGCTCACTCTGCGCGCGCTGTGGCCTGGCCTCCTACTGCAGCAAGGCGCACCAGAAGCAGGACTGGTCGCGGCACAAGCTGAGCTGCAAGAGGGCCGAAGAGGAGACCCCCGGGGAGAATGATGATGGACCGGTGAGTGCAAGGGTCGAAATTGACGCCAAACTTCAAGATAATGCTTTTCGTTTTCGAAGATTTTTCGTTTTAAACTGCCTAATTTGTTTTATTTTGGAAAAAACATTAACCTTTTTGGAATGGAGTTCCTATTTCAAAACTCATTTTGGTTTGTTCAAGAATGTTTTGTGCACTCTTGCATGCGAAGCATTGGTTGGTAACATTGTAATGTTACGTAGTTAGTTGCTGGGTCGTATACTGTTAATAAATGGTTGTACAGAAACAATCAGATGAGTGAAAACTTAGTCGTTCCAAAACATTGAATGTCATCGTGACTCAAAGCAAAACAAATATCCTTAAATCTAGTAAGCGTCAATTTGTCGCTGAAGAACAAAACTCTTGTTATACAATTTGAATGGTAACAACATCTTTTGCTATTATTTGCTCACTTTAAGTATATTATGAATAATAATCTACTTTTAAGTCATATGGAAATTACTATTATTAAAAGTAGAACCATGAAATATGAATTTAGCGACAAAAGTATTCGATGAATACTTGTCGCAGACATTACAAAATCTTTCTCATCTTACAATACTTGTCGATGACGAACAACATTTGTTGTTGGTCAACGACTTGTTTTTTAAGGTAGACTGTTGACGTGTTATTACAGGTTTGTCGTAGTGAAACTATCCTTTAGTTCCAGTACGACTATGGTTTAACAAGCCATTCGTTTTACAACAATTCTTGTCGCTAACGAAATTAGAAATAAATGTGTCGCTAAGTCACGACAAAATTTTTTAGTTCCAGTATGACTATGGTTTAACAGGCTATTCGTTCCACAACAAATCTTGTCGACAAAGAAATGAGCAATAAATGTGTCGCTGAGTCAAGACAAAATTTTTCTCAGTGTATAACAGTTTTGTTGTTTGCAGGCGTTGGGCTTGACCGCGCTACCCAAGGAGCTGCTGCTGGCAGTGTGCGCGCTGCTCGGCCCCTACGACCTGGTGCGGCTGGGCCAGGTGAGCCGCGCGCTGCGGTCCGTGGCCCGGGACCCCGCCGCCTGGCAGCACGTGACCTTCCCCGAGAGGAAGCCCGAGGCCGACGCGGCCCTGGACCACGCGGGCCACTCCGTGCTGCACATGCTGCACCTGGAACGGACCACCACCAGGTACGGTCAGGGGAAACCAACTTTCCAGTCCAAAATCCAAAAGCTCCAATGCTAATCACTGTTAGAAAAATTGTCCCAAAATTAACGCCGAGTAGGTCCTCAATTTTTACAGCGATGGAGATGGAAGTCGTTGGATGGATCCTAAGAACTAAGTTCGTTCTTACTCATCTAGATTCAAACGGAAGGAATGGCAGTGTTATTAACAATCTGCCAAGTATTTACAATGCATGGAAACAAGTAGAAATCTTAACTCTAGGTTGGATGAGTAAGGGCAACGAGAACAAAATGGGGAAAAAGTAGCGTCGTCGGAAATCGAACTTTGTACTCACGGAGCTTTGGGCATCGGCTTTTGTGCTGCTCTGGACATCGAACTTAGATCTTACAGGACCCACCGCCGTTCTGGAACGACTTTTAGAGTGAAGACTCCAGCGTCTGTTGGTACCGCATAGTGCAGCGGTTCCCAACTTTTTCCGACTTGCCACCCCAAATTTGTAGCCAAAAATTTTCGAGACCCCTAGGAAAATTTTGGAGACCCCAAGGAAAATTTTCGCGACCCCACGCGACCCAACTCTTCGCCTCGACCCCAGGCGACTCAAGCCACCTCGCCGCGCGTCCCCACAAAATTTTGTCGCGACCCATACTATAGTAAAAAAAATGTTACGTACAATTTTGTACGAGATATCGCAGTTTTTAGTGCGCACGAAAGTTTCGTATAATTTTCGCACGAAAAACTGCACATTTTTCGCCAGTTTTGTACTAAATTGTACAAATTTTTGAACAAATTTGTACGAAAAGTTTGTGTGCACAAAGAACTGTGATGTGTCGTTCAAAATTTGTTCAAAAACATCTAGTGTGCCTCAAAGTTGAGAACCGCTGGCAAAGTGCCGTAGTGCCTCTGGCTCTGGCCCCTTTGCAGACTGTTTTTCCCCACAGGGCGCACTGTCAGATATATTTTGTCGTAAATTAGCGACAAAAACGTCGCTAATTTTGATAGCGACAGGAATCGTTCTGAAACTACTTCGTTGTAACTGAACGACTAAAAAACCATTTCTCTACGACAATGTCGTAATCGCGATTACATATTTTGAAATCTAAAATTCCCGAAAAGTAGATGAAAAGTCGCAATTTTGGTCGCTTATTTACGATTTGTGTCGTTCATTTACGATTTATTACACAGATTTACGAAAAGATTCGTAAATGGACGACTGAAGTCATAACTGCACGACATATTCCATAGATAAGTTACGATCGTTCGTAAACTTACGATTAAGTTGTAAATTTACGACTTATAATTCGTTTCAAAACGGAACGTCTCGCTATCAAAATTAGCGACAAATACGTCGTAAATTTACGACTCAAGTCGTATATTTACGACTTGAGTCGTAAGAAAATATGAAATATGTCGTTCAAAAACGACACAATTGTTTTACAAAATGTCGTAAATTTACGATTATTTTTAACAGTGCGCTGGGCCGGGACGCGGGGTACGGCGTGCTGCGGGTGGCGCCCGCCCTGGGCACGCTGCGCATCATCCACGGGTGGCCGCCCGTCAACCTGCTGCGCTTCACCCGCCGCGTGCGCACGCTGGAGCTGCAGTGGACCGAGATCAGCGGCCAGGCTCAGATCGGGGACGGCTTCGGCGCGGAGCGCTTGCGGCGCGTGCTGAGTCACTACCGTGGCCATCTGCAGGTGAGTTCGAGGGGTCGCATTCAAAACATCTCATCTGGGCGTTCCCCCCAAGTCAATCTTATCTTAAACGCAGGCGAATTTCACTAATTTTGACCATTTGGGACGGGAACGAGAGGAAGCGGAATTTATTTCTAAATGCACTATTGGTTTCTTTGATCTTTCATCGTCACATTTCAGTGAATATAATCAGAACTTGATTGATTTGTAGCTGTATCAAATAATCAAACTAAGTGAAATTTGCCTGCGTTAAAGATAAGATTGTCCTGGGGGGAACGCCCAGATAAGATCTTTTTAATAGGGCCCCTCGAGTTGGGCGGGGCTGCTTAGAAGCGGCACTGAGAAACGTTCTGTCATAACTTGGCGACAAGACTTGTTGTGGGACGAATAGCTTGTTAAACCAAAGTCGCATGGACCTAAAGAATAATTTCACAACGACAAACTTGTAATATCATATCAACAGTCCACCTTCAAAAAATGGTCATTGACCAACAATAAATGTTTTAGTCAACAACAAGTATTGTAAGTCAAAAAAGATTTTGTAATGTCTGCGTCAAGTATATTTATTGTGTACTTATGTCATGGTTTGATGGTTCTACTTTAAATAGTAGTAATTTTCCTATGACTTAAAAGAACGAAACAGGTAATAATTCATAATAAATTTTAATTGAGCAGGCTAAAGTTGTTGTTTCCACACTACTTGTATCATTAAGGGGGGACCCTGGTGAAAAAATAGCCAAAACTGCCAAAAACAGTATTTTCAAAGTTCATAGATAAAAATGTGCATAGAAGGTTTAAGATTCAACAGGTTGAACACCTTTAAACTATGTGGGTAGTTCCTTCATCATTTGGAAAGAAATAACATTGAGATCAGTTGTCGTTGGCTTATACGCTCAACTTCACACCTTTGCTCAGTCGACCAAAAATTTTGTCGTAGAAAGACATTCTGCGTTCCTGGTTCACACCTACACGAGTCATCCTGCATGGACTTTATTCATTAATGACTTGTGGACAAATTTTAGTGACGGAATCTTGATATCAGCCCTACTTTTTTTACAAACACCTAAAAGTTTGGAAAAAAGGCAAAGAAATCACTTTTTTTCAGAGGTTGAAATTGAAAATTCCATCAGTTACATCTTAAGGATAACCCAAAAAAATTTTCAAGACTTTCCGTTCCAATGAAAGACGCAGGAAGATTTTTCCCCAACGCTCTAAAAAACACTTAAAAGCCACTTTTCTCAGAGACCGTTCAACATTTTGGATTGAATTTTGTTTTGGGAACTCACCATAATGAACCTAACAATTAAGCAAAGTTTCAACTTTCTGGGATTACTTTAAAGCCTACTTGAAAGTTTCACCAGGGTCCCCCCTTAAAAAACGCAGAGAATAGTGAAGTTGTCGGTTAAAATGCGTTTATTTCTTAAAAATACGGGTCATCTTCGTTAAAATACGGAAAATCGGAGTAGCCGGAGTAACTTTCTCCGTCAATTTACGGACTGTGTTTCTGACAGTGCCCTGTCTGTGCTGCCCCAGGTGCTGCGGTTGGCTCGCATCGACGACGTCGCCACGCTGCACTTCATCGACGGCCTGGGGCTGCGGGAGCTGCGCTTGGGCGAGTGCGTGGTCAGGACGTACGGCGCGGAGGGCTCGGTCCAGGGCGTGGCCACGTTGAGCGTGGGCTCCAACGTTACCGGTAAGGAGGTTGAACGATTTGCCGTGAACAACCAAGGGATCCCCAACCGCACTGTGAAAATTTGAGTCGTCACTTGATGACAATTTCAAGGCTAATTTTCCTTACAACAATGTCATCAAATCAATTGATTACATTGTTGTCACGCCCATGCAATAGGCATAGGAGCTTTGAGGAAAATGTCATCAATTTGAGATGAGATTGTCATCATTTCGAAGTGATGAAAATATCATCCACGTTTTTGTCATACAGTAACAACAAATTTTCACAGTGCGACCCGACGAGCGTACACCGACTTAAAGTAAAAAATTGATTTTTTTAAGGACTTCTGACTATTTATTTTTGCTTTTTGGCCCGCCCTTCTATTCAAAAAATAGGGGGAGGGCCTATGCATTTGCCTTTGTGTCTGTGTGTTGTTGTTGTTGTTGTTGTTGTTGTTGTTGGCGTCTGTGTACAAGGAAGGAGTTGAGCTAGAGTAACCAGATTTGGAGGGTACTTCAGGAGTACCGTCCAAACAAATAATCCGGTGGTGCAAATCCCGTCCGGGTCGCGCAAGGGCTGCTGCAGGTGCATCATGGTTTACATGAGCGGGAGGGGGATTTCCGCCATTATTGGTGCTAGCAGGGCACATAGGGGTATTTTTGGAATCGGGGCGACGAGACAAGATGAATGGACCTGGTCCCAACCCCATCGGCCGCTTTTACAAGTTGGCCAGATCAGGATCTTCAAAAAAGGGGGTCGACCGACTAAAAGAATTTATTGCAGATTTCGATTGGTCTCAGCAAGACCTTTTCAACGAGGGGTCGGAAAGGGGGTCCAGGAGCCCGACTTCGTCTATTAGTCACATCAGGATCTTGAAAAAAGGGGTCGACCGACTGAAAATTTTTACTTAAGTTTTGGATAGGTCTTGGCAAGACCTCTTCAACGAGGGGTCAGAAGGGGGGTCCAGGCGCCCGCCTTCATGAGTTATGGGAAAGAGTGCGACGGACTCGTTTTGAGCTCCTGCTGTGCCTCTATTGCAAGGAGTTGCAGTAGCATGGCAAATACGGGTATTTTCGGAATGAGGGCGAAGAGACAAATGAAATGGGCATATTCTAAGGACAGTTGGAGTAAAAAGTGTAAGGACTATTGCATATTGTGAATAGAAGGGCGGGCCTAAGTCACGATGGTACATCGATAACTTTGCTTTACCCGCTCACGGTGTGTGTGATGCGAGCGGGCCGAAGGCCCGGGCCTTCGACTGGCCAAGTTGGGTCTGATGCGAGGGCCAAAGGCCCGAGAAAAGGCCGCCGGCAGGCCAAGCTGGGCCGGCCCCCTGTCGAACCGAGTTGCCGGCGCAGCGAAGCGGAGCTGGCAACTCGGTTCGACGGAAGGGCGGGCCCTAGCTTGTTTGTGACTTTTTTGGTTACCCTTTTTGACTTCTTTGGTGACCTTTTTTGCCTTTTTGGTGACTTTTTTTGGTTATCTTTTTTGACTGTTTGAGACTGTTTTGCCTTGGGACTTTTTTCATTTGTAGAATTTTCAATGACTTTTTGACGTTTTACTAATGACTTTCTGACCTTTTAATGACTCTTTTGTCTTTTCAAATTACTTTCCTGCCCGCGCCTTTTTAAAGGATGTTCGGTGACCGTTTTGTGACTTGAATGTGTTTTTTTTTTGTTTGTATCATGGGGCAAAATCTTTCAAATTTGAAGGAAAATAAAAACAGGCCAGGTAAAATTGATTTTACAGCTGTCTTTACGCTGTCTGTTTTCTATTCAAAAATAGATATAACTGCCAGAATCTGAAGACTGGGTAGGTAATCCTTTGTCGTGAGGAGAATTTGGGAGAAGCGACCAAAAGTTTACGTAAACCTCCATAACTCAGAAACTTACAGGAGTTGGGGCCCTCATCTTTGGGAAATAAATTCATCCAACAGTGGTTGACTTTTGACGACAAAATGAACTTTCTGTGACAAATATTTCTAGGAAATGCTTGTTTCACTTTAGAGTATTCTTAAAATCGTAGTTCACATCTCGCGTTATTTCTTCCAGAGGAGGTGGTGTTGGAGCTCCTGAAGCCCTGCGTGGACACCCTCACCACTTTCGAGGTCAAGTCGCGGCTGCTGGACTTCTGCGGCTGGGCGTTCCGTGAGCCCCAGGAGGCCCTGCTGCCGGCGCTGCGACGCTGCCCCCGCCTGGTGTCGGTGGACGTGCCGGCCGATTGGTTCGTGCGCGGCTACCTGGGCGACTTGTCCGGCCTCGACACGCTCAAGCTCATCGACCTGGGCACGCAGAAGCACGCCGACGTGGAGAGGGCGCTGGCAGCCTTCCCGCTGGCGCGCAACATCAAAGTGCTCACAGCGTCGCTGGCCTTCATGGTAGGCTTGGTTGCAGACCCACAGTAGACCGGCTCAAATTTCCCGAAGGTTCGAAATGTCGATGCGCGGAAACGGAATTCGGTTCCTTTCCGGATTCTAAGACTCTGGGAATTTTTCGGGATTTTTGAGGTCACCGGAAGTGGTCCCGCACGGCAGGGTAAGTTAGGTGCACTGCTTATTGATAGACCAGGAGTAAAGCGGCCTTCATATTCGTTTTACGGGCATATTCCATGGAACAAAAGTTGTCAGAAATGGTCAAATTAATAAAAATAAGTGATGTCTGATTTCGAAAACTCAAAATTTGCAATCTGGGTGCCTACCTGTAAGGGGCAACTGGCGTCTATTTTCGCACTGAGCCCCAAAATGAAGTGTATCAGGACGGAAAACGTTTTGAAAATCGATTTGGCCCTACTGGTGGTGCTATTTTGAGTGCCTAATCTTCGCCCGGTCTAACGGATTAATTGGAGGCCTTTAATGAGTATTGCCTTGTTTACGTTTGGGCGCCCGTTGCGTGGCTAAACTCGTTTTCTTTGACTTTTTCGGTAATTTCCGAAGATTCAGTCGAGAAGGTTAAAAGCACGAGAACGTAAAAGAGAACACCAGATGGACAGGCCTTTAGCCTGTCTAATCTGAAATGTTATTCTGAATAAGAACTCTTTCATTGTGATTTACTTTTCCCTACCTCCAACCGATCTTTACTGAAATGTTGTGCGTGCGATGAAAGTTAGCGATTTGATTACTTTGCTTCACCAACGCACATTCGCATAGACCCGGTTGAAACTCATTTCGCAAGTGCTTACTTTAGTCTTAGAGATTCATCATACTCGGAACCTTTTGTGACCAATAAATTGATCGTCACGAGCCTGCACTCATTTGAGTATACTCCCAGGGCACAACTGAGTACATTCTACTGTAAGTGTGTTAAATTGAGTACTACACGCCCGTGGGAGTGCGCTTGTGGGTGCACGCCGAAGAGTGCGTATTAACTAGACCGTTGACTTAGCTAAGCAGATTCGGAATAGGACGAGCTTTTCGTCATGCGTACACTTCTCGTCAAAAACGTCGTAAAAACTCGCTTGCCGCGTTACTCTACGTATATGCCAGTTCAAATTTAAGTGAGGCAGACTGTTTCTGGGCTCGCTCCTCACTCCCAGGTTTAGAAGTGTTCTTATTTGAATGGCACCAATAGATTTATACTAGCTTTAACATGAAACGACACTTACGTTATTTTCCAAACCAACTCTTAAAAACTAACAGTCTTGCCTTCGGTCTCATGTAGACTTTCCCGCAGTGCACCTGATCACCGCGCTCCAGCCCTTCGCCGCGTGGCTTTGGCGCGGCTCTAGTTTCCGCACTATTGCTGTGTCAGGGATTGGATCTTCGCAAATCACCGAGTAAAACGAGAAGTAACCAGACTTCACCACAATCCGCACCCCCAAACGTAAACAAGGCAATACTCATTAAAGGCCTCCAATTAATCCGTTAGACCGGGCGAAGATTAGGCACTCAAAATAGCACCACCAGTAGGGCCAAATCGATTTTCAAAACGTTTTCCGTCCTGATACACTTCATTTTGGGGCTCAGTGCGAAAATAGACGCCAGTTGCCCCTTACAGGTAGGCACCCAGATTGCAAATTTTGAGTTTTCGAAATCAGACATCACTTATTTTTATTAATTTGACCATTTCTGACAACTTTTGTTCCATGGAATATGCCCGTAAAACGAATATGAAGGCCGCTTTACTCCTGGTCTATCAATAAGCAGTGCACCTAACTTACCCTGCCGTGCGGGACCACTTCCGGTGACCTCAAAAATCCCGAAAAATTCCCAGAGTCTTAGAATCCGGAAAGGAACCGAATTCCGTTTCCGCGCATCGACATTTCGAACCTTCGGGAAATTTGAGCCGGTCTAACCCACAGTCTCATTCACCTTTCTGATACCTGATAGTACAACAGTTTTTGCTGTACTTGCGTTGTTCTACTATTCTCACTGTGTAGGGTGCAGACACTGGTAGTCAACGAATGTGACGTCGTATCCGTTGCAGCGTGAATTTTGTCACGTTCGTTTGGATATGATGTCATTCGTTTGAAGGTGACTCGGCCGTTTAAGTGGTGTCAAATTCGTTTGAATGTGAATCAACATTCAAACGAAAGTGACATCAAATTCAAACGAGTGACAAAATTCACATACGAATCGTTGAATATGACGTCACATTCGTTGGCTACGTACCAGTTGACAAACACAGTGCGTGCTCTCTCTGGCAGGCTCATCGCGGATTGGTGATGATGGTGGCCGACGCCTTCCCGCGGCTGCAGGCCCTCTGCCTGGCCTTCGACTCGGACAGCGACGACCCGACCATGGACGCCATCACCAACGGCATGGGCGAGGCGCTCCCCGACGCGCCGCGCGACCTGGCCGCCATCCTGGACCAACGCCTGCCCGACTTGGAGGTGCTGTGGTTGTCGGAGGTGCGCGTGCCCAGCACGGTGTGGGCGGGGCTCGCGTCCGGCCTGCTGCCGAAACTACGCGAGCTGCAACTACAGGAAGTCCAGGTGAGGCACGGTGGGCCAGAAGAACGGGAAGGCGATCAAAATCCCGGACGCGTTTTGAGCTCCAGAGTCGCTAAATTGGACTCGAACCAAACGTGTGACCCCACCAATGGATTGCTCTCCGAGCAAGGAGAGCAATCCAATGGTGGGGTCACACGTTTGGTTCGATTCCCATTAGGCGACTGTGGAGCTCAAAACGTGTGTCGCCTCCACCGGCCTTCTGGCCCACTGTGCAGCCGTCAACCTTTTGTTTTGGAATAGGCTATTCCGCTGCTGGGAAAAGAGGCCACACTAATCTACGAAGTCCTTTGTTTTTGTACATACCGTTTGCACGAAATTAAACATGCGCGCGACATGCACGAATTCGTTCATTTCGCATACACTCTACAAAAAATGTCCAGTCAACGCCGTTAATTTATTACCAATGTTTGCTGTTATGCAGTTCACGGCGTTTGCTGTGAACTAGTTCACGGCGTTTGCTGTGAACTAGTTCACGGCGTTCACTGTGATCTCGGTTACAGTGTTCACTGTGATCTGGCCACAGTAAACGCCGTGAATTGGAGCCTGATTTACAGTACTTCGGTGCTTAGCGGCGTCAAACTCACAGTGTTTACTGGGGACCAGATCACAGTGAACACCGCGAACAAGATCACAGTGAATCCCGTGAGCAGACCACAGTAAACGCTGTGAATTGACCTACAGTGAAAACTGGTAATAAATTAACGGCATTTACAGGACATTTTTGGTAGAGTGTAACCGTACACTCTCGTGAATAGTTGATCCAGGAAGCGGAACGGTGTGCGATGAGTTTGTGCGACGACACCTGACGTTGCTCTTGTCTGCCCCCAGCTAACGCCTCAGGGCGCGGCCGCCCTCTTGGCGCTGCGTGCCGCGCGGCCCGCTCTGTGCGTCCAGGAGCACGGAGTCACCGCGGCGCGGCGGCCACAGGACGACGGTGTTTGGAACATGTTCGGGGAAGCGGACGACGTGGATCCGTTTCGGTGCCATGAGCCTGTCTGCGCCGCGCCCTCCGACTGCGAGGACGAGGACCCCGTCACCACCGAAGACGAGGACAGCAACGACGAAGACAGCAGCGGCGGCGGCATCAACGACGACGACATCAGCGACGAAGACAGCACATTCGTAGACATCGACGAAGACATCAGCGACGAAGACATCAGCGACGAAGACAGCAGTGGCGACGACAGCAACGACGAAGACAGCATCGGCGAAGACAGCAACGGCGAAGACAGCGACAATTAGGGAGGTCACCGCACTGCCTGCTCGGCGTCGTGTGCCACCCTGGCCTCGAAGGCGTGACCCGCTTGCGAGGCCCCTCGCGTGCTAATAAATGTCACAGCCACTAGATATACCAGGCGATGACTTCGCGGAGGGCGCACCTGACAAGATGTTGTGATGAAGGACAAATATTGGCGTTTTGTTTTGCGTAGTGTCAAAGTCAATATTCGTGAAAACTTTTTAAATTTAGTCTTTTTACTTTGTGTATTTGTAATATTGATTGAAATAAATCCAGTGTATTCTTACTCCAAACGATTATTTATGTTGGACAACATATTTATTTTGGACAACTTTTTTTGGGCATTACAGTTTTAGGGAAAAATTTCTGTTGGGAAAATAGGATTGGGAAAAATGACCGTGAATCGGATTTTCCAGCCCTCGTGACTCAACTCGATGCCCATTTAGCCCCGGTGGAAACCCAAGTCGTGGCAATCGAGCGGTTCCGCAATCGGAAACAAGGGGGCGATTCTGTACGCACGTGGATCGCGGATTTGCGTAGGTTAGGGTCACGCTGTAAGTTCGAAACAAAGTTCGATCAAGAAATGTGCTCACAACTGGTTCGGGGAGTGGCCTCTCAAGCAAACAAAGTGCGCCTCATGGAGGAACAATCGTTAACGCTGGAGAAGGCCATGATACTCCTGTGTACTTGGGAAATGGCGCTCGACACTACAATTTGGATGGAAAGACTTCGCGCCAAAATATGGCGAGACATTTAAGTCTCGCCAAGTTTTGGTCAGACCTGAAAGTCTCGCCAAAATTTGGTCAGACAAAAAAGTCTCGCCACAAAACGGTCATACACAAAAGTCTCGCCATTTTGTGGTCAGACTTTTGTGTATGACCGTTTTGTGGCGAGACTTTTTTGTCTGACCAAATTTTGGCGAGACTTTTAGATCTGACCAAAACTTGGCGAGACTTTTATGTCTTGCCTCTGGAGTGGCGAGAAGTCTGACCTTTGGATTTGTGGTGGATCGAGTCAACAACCGAGCTTGGTGCGTCCGGCGGCTCCCCCAGGCTGCACGTGTTGAGTGAAAAGTCCCAACAGGGCATTCCTCAAAACGTGCGAACAGTCATAGAAGTATCGCCAAAATTTGGCGATACTTTTTGGTATTGCCAAAACCACGGCATTAAACTAAGAACTTGTCCCCTTGATTTGTTCAACGTTTATTGCCAAATTGTGGCAATACTCCGAAGTATCGCCAAATTTTGGCGATACCTTTGTGTATTGCCGTTTTGAAGGCAATACTTTTCTGTAAGGCCGTTTATTGGCAATACCAAGGGCAATACTTAATTGTATCGCCAAAAAAAGTACCAAAAGTATTGCCATTGGATTTACAGTGAACCTGTCCGACGTGCACTGCAAAAAATCAGTGTCAGATACGGACCATGCTACGGCGTTCCGTATACCCCCTGAAATGGTGATACGGACATCTGCCGTACCACTCCTCCCATAAGAGCCTGTGCTTTGTAAAGAGTGGTACGGAAATTTAACGGAAAATGTACCGCTAATTTTACACCGGAGGTTGCCGTTCCGGTTTTCCGTTTGTGAAATAGTCCAAAATGCTCTACGGACAGTGAGGAACGGACGCTCCGTAACGCCAAGTTCTCTGACGAAACGCATGAAACGGTCACTCCGTAGGGATACGGACTGGCCGTAACACGTTATGCGTTATAGAAATTTGAGTTGCGGCGTGTCCGTTCCTCACTGTCCGTAGAGCATTTTGGACTATTTCACAAACGAAAAACCGAAACGGCAACCTCCGGTGTAAAATTAGCGGTACATTTTCCGTTAAATTTCCGTAGCACGCTTTACAAAGCACAGGCTCTTATGGGAGGAGTGGTACGGCCGATGTCCGTATCACCATTTCAGGGGGTATACGGAACGCCGTAGCATGATCCGTATCAGACACTGATTTTTTGCAGTGTGTAACGCTACTGTGTCAAAGGTTTTGAAATGTGTTCGATGTGGGGGCAAGCACAGCCCCGCAACGTCCAACCACATCAACTCAAAATGCAACTACCAGGCGTGTAGGAAGATTGGCCACCTCGAGAGCGAATGTTTTTTAAAGAAACGTCACGCTCGGGACGGGCCGGCCGTACCCAGCCACGGCTCGGGGGGCTGGGGGCGGGCAGGCACAGCAAAGGCCCTCGCGGAGTCCGGCGTTGCACGTCCTAACCCAGCCCAGGGCCACCGACTCTGCAGAGTCCCTCCAAACGGAGGCGGTTTGGCCTGAGTACGCATTGTACACTGTCAATCCAATAGCAATACTTTTGGTACTTTTTTTGGCGATACAATTAAGTATTGCCAATAAACGGCCTTACAGAAAAGTATTGCCTTCAAAACGGCAATACACAAATGTATCGCCAAAATTTGGCGATACTTCGGAGTATTGCCACAATTTGGCAATAAACGTTGAACAAATCAAGGGGACAAGTTCTCAGTTTAATGCCGTAGTTTTGGCAATACCAAATAATATCGCCAAATTTTGGCGATACTTCTATGTATCGCCGTTCTGAAGGCAATACATTTCCATAAGGCCGATTATTGGCAATACTCAATTGTATCGCCGAAAAATGTATTTCAGTGTCGCCTTTGCATTTGCAGTGTACACCTTGTCCGCGCGCGCCACTGCAGTGTCACGACGCAGCCGATGCGGATCAGCGTGGTTATCGACGGCAAAACCGTGCCGACGGAGCCCGATGGGGGAACCGATTGAACTGCATGTGCGTCCAGAGGTAACACCAGTGTTCCTCCGGGCGCGGCCGCTTCCGTACGCTCGCCATTTTGGAGGCATTTTGGGTATTTTGTCCCACAGACACAGTTTTCGTCCGAATGACTTAAAATTTGGCATTTTTATGTAAAATTGAACAAGGAACAAGAATATGCCCTCAGATTTACTCTACGGCCAATAGTTTTAGAGATATTTGCGAAAAAGTCGAAAAATTACAAAAATACAAACAATTTGTGGGGAAACTTGGAAAAAAATTTCTTTTTGACTTTCCGAAATTTGCATCGTGTAGAAAATGGTCCGCTGAATCCAATGAGCACACGCCCAGGTCTGTACCTGAAACGGTCTAGGCGCTGTGCCCCTCCAAAGTTGAGCATTTTTTCGTTTTCCACTAAAAACGTAATTTTCAAGCAGGAATTTCCACTGGGCACAAAAAGACTGCGAATGAGAGGTTCCCTGTCTCCGCAGATGGTTCGCTTGTGCCTAAACGAACGCACAGGGGCTCGCGCAACCGTCCGCTCAGAAGCGCCTGTGAAGGGGCGGGTAGGCAAACCCGCCAAACTCACCAGTTAGCACGCGGCCCAGTCCGGCCATACTAATTGATCCAGGAAGCGGAAGAAGGGAATAACTTGACTTATCCCCAAATTGAGTTTTTATTTTATTATTGTGCCTTAGAATGGTTTACATCATTACACCAAATTATTTGACTGAATTCCAAGCAGTTTAGGAGAAAATCCACATGGAAAAAGGGTATAACTCAACTTAACCCCGGTCTAAATTTCATTGGAAAATGGAGATAACTCAACCTTAGTCTACATGAGTCCGTTTGACAAATTGGCAAAAGGATATAACTCAACTTGTGTTTTTATGAATCTAGTGTAAAAAGAATCAACTCAACTTAACCCCCCCTTAATTTTAAATTTCAATTTGGAAAAAAGAGCTAAGTCCAAAAAATACACCAGAATAACATACACTTTATGCAGACTATTGTTCCACTTGACTTGTCTCCAAATTCCTCTTTGTTTAGGAAATATAAGGTGAGCTGACTCTGTTTTCCATTTCAACGGAAAGTGACAAGTCGCAGAAATCCTCTACGGAGTGACCTTACACTTTTGATTCTTTTTTCAAAATTTTACTAATGCTTTTTGAAATTATTAACATGTGCAACATTCATTTGTTTTGTTTTAGTTTTCCCTGCTAACAGTTTTTTGTTTCTCCTGAAAAATGGCCAAAATTGAGTTATCCCCTTCTTCCGCTTCCTGGATCAATTTAACGGCAGAAAAAGGGTATTTTTGCTGTCTAAAGCGCTTCCGAGGCTCCCCATAACACTCCTGGCGCCTTTTTCGGTACCGCGGTAATAGTGGGTGCGAGCGTGTGTCGGGCCCGAAATGGCATACGATCATGTGTGGTCTAGTCCGTAATGGAAATGGTAAAGCAGCCCCACAGACACGCCTGTTGAGCAGGCTGACCTACGCTGTGCCCTGGCAGACGCTCGCACGGCCCTGGCAAAAAGCAACGCGGGTGACATGGCGATCAGGCACGCTTTTTCAGTGGTGTGGACGGGGATGGGCAGCCAATTTACTATTGAACCTTGCACCACAAGCTTCAACACGCAGTTTGTTCTCTTCACTTTTTTAGCAGATGGTACCTTCACACCTTACACTTCAAACATACTTAAAGCTAATATACACATGAAGGTGTCAGCTTGCTTTTACTCTCGAGTCCAGAAACCAAGCGCGTATCCTTACAATACTAGGAAAAGCTACCGCTTCAGGCTGAGCCTAAGGGCTCCTATGTTCACATATTTGTAATTTATTTTTCAAATTTTCCTCTATGTCGCTAAGTAAGCGACAATTTTTAAGCATTTGTTTAATTTATTAAGGATGTTTCAGGATTAATTTAACAGTGCTGTCATTTTTACTATGACGTCGCACCGTATCCAGGTTGAAAAAATTCTATTGTGTTCCGGAAAGTGGGTCTGTGACGATAATTGATGTCTTTGACGCTACGCTAGGTGGGCTCGGCTGGAACAGGAATCAGCCCAGTGGGTAGGCAACCCATCATGCCTCGTGAAGCGTGCGGTGATACCCCGTGCCGCTAGGATTTTAGCTCTGTACATTTATTTATTTTATGACCTTGTACTGCAAAGGCCACCTAACATCTCTAGATTAAGGATACTGTCAAGTGAAACTAGAATGTCCTAAAAGTATTTGTCATGGAAAGTTCATTTTGTGGTCAAAATTCAACCACTACTAGGTGAATTTATTTCTGAAGTTGGGAGCCCCAACTCCTATTAGTTTCTGAGTTATGGATGTTTACGTTAACTTTTAGTCGTTTCTCCCAAATTCTCCTCATGACAAATGATTTGCTACCCAGTCTTCAGATTCGGACAAGTATATCTATTATTGCACTGGAAAAAGATAGCGTGGGCAAATTTGAAAATATCAGTCTGGAAGAGGCTGTAAAAGCTATTTCACCAGGCCCATTTTTATCTTTCTTCAAATTTGAGAGATTTTGTC